TATATTATATATATATATACAACAGTTTGGTATAAATGTCATTAAAATTTGTTTTTTTAAATAATAATTTACAAATAAAGAAAAAATAAAACAATAGCAAAGTTTATAGAAGAAAAATATTTGACAATATTTTCTAAACTTTATGTTTTAAATATATAAATATATTTATATTCATTCAAAAAGTTATTTATATACTCATCAAAAACATAAGCATTGTTATCTTTCAACAAACCTTATTGTAATGGTAAAAAATGTAATATTAATAATATTGTATATCATATACTGTATATTACAAAATATTTCTAAATTTAATATAATATTAACACTAAATATAGAGTTTTTATAATATTTCTACTGTAAATGTATTATAATAGTGTGATATTCACGTTACAAACATAAAAAAGTTTTTCATTAATATCACATTTAATTAACTTGTTGTTTAAGAGTCAAAACGTGCTTTTTTAATATCTTTTATAACTTATATATAAATTATAGTATATATATATATAATGTATTTATGTGTAGTATTTATTGATAGGTATTTTATATTTCTCTTTTATTTTTTAATGTCTTAATACTCTCTGGCCTTTTGTTTAAGTTATAACTTATTGTTTTATTTTTTTTATTTACTAAAATAAATTCCAGTAACTATTGCTATTCTATCCAATAGTAAACAATTTTTTATTTTATTTTTACGATTATTATAGTCTCTTATACTCTACTAAATAATTATTAGTTTATTAGGTTTATTAAATGAACTAAATTTTTTTTTATTTCGTTGTATTTTTATTATACAATAGACAATAAATTAGTTGTTTTATTATATATACCGTATATATATATATACTAATTAAATAATTTATTCATTAAATAAAAAACCAATAACATTATTTAATACAAATAAAACTAAAATAAAAATTTTTCTAAATAATAAAACTGATTTTTTAATATTTATTATAATTTTTTGTATAGTATACCATATAAACTATAAATTATTTGTATATACAGTATAATTTATATGATAAAATAATTTAATTTAATATATCTATTTAAACGTTTAATTTTAAATATATTGAGGGACGATAGGCATTGAGGCACGAGTATATTCCCTCAATATATAGAACTAAATTTATAACTAATAGCACTGATAACTATAAAATAACTTTAAAACTTTGATAACTAAAATTTATTTACTAAATATACTGTGTCTTTAATAACAAACTTTTATATTTATATATTTAATATATATATATATATATATATATATATCTCTAATAAATTTCTGTTTTCAAAATTTTAGACAAATAGATAAAAAAAACTTTTATATTTTAAAACATTGATTTCTATTATTAAATCAATGAATCTATTGCTTTGTTAACATAATTTAATATATATATATATATAACCAAAAAAAAAACTGTCACAAAATTTTTAGATCTAACGAGAAATCGTTTGGTATTTTCAATTTTTATGTACATTTTATATTTATTTATCTATACTCTGTATATATTAATATAATATAAATACTTATAAATATATAAATAAATCAAATTTATTTTTCATTTATATGTTATTTCAATTTTTATCGATATATTTCTATTCAATTTATTTATTTTTTTCTATATCTCCCAATTTTATAATGTTTTAGTTTTTTAAAATAAAATAACTTTCATTTTTTTACTTTTATAAAACTTTTCCTGTTTAATATCAATTTGATTCAATTGAATTTCCTTTTTTATATGAAAATATTTTTCTATTAAATTTAAATTTGTCATTTAATGTCATCTTGTTTGACAATACATGTGGGAAATGGATAGTACTGTATATATTATATAATATATTGTACTACTATTAGTACTATTATTATATATATTAATATTATTATTATTTAATATAAAAATGTTTATTGTCTTACTGTATATTGTCTTAAATTGTTGTAAAAATTTAAAAATTAGCATTTAAATGTTTGTAAATTATTAACTTATTATATATATTTAACTATTATTTTATTTTATTTTTTTTATTAAATTATTTTTTATTTTATTTTTATTTATTTAATAATTACATTAATTATGTTACTTTTAATACTTTGCTTTAAAATATATTTTTTATAACATCTATGATTATATTATAAATTTATATTAATAGTTATTTTTCTTGTTTGTTTAAAAAACATATATATTTGTATATAACTTAACATTTCTTGATAAACACTTATAATTTTTATAAACTAAATACATTACATAATATTATTATTAATATTTAATACTATTATCCATTACTTAAAAGCGTTTACCTAATAATTTTTGCAAACATGTCACAAATGTTTGTATGTTTTTTTATTTATTTAAAAAGTATAGTTAAAAAGTTAAAAAATATTTGGCAGTTATTCAAAATATTTAACTTTAATTTAAATTCTTGTCATAACTTTGATAAGAAATGTTAAATTTAATATTTAATAATAATAATAATAATTGTTGTTGTAAATAAAATAACAAAATAAATAAATATTATCACTAATGTATATTAATACAAAATAAAATGATTTTAAGCTTCAATAGTATGAAATCTATATTATTGTATATATATTTTTTATTTAAAAGATTAAAAATTTTAATATATTGAATATATAACAAAAAGTGTATTATTCTTATGTTTTATTTGAAATAACATTGAAAGTGATTCACATTTATTTATGATTATGTTTTACATAATAATATTTTAATTCTATACAAACATTTTAATATTCATCTATTTTTTTAAATTATTATATCTGTATTATTAATTTTGTTTAATATTTTGTTATATTAATATTTTGTTTATTATTTAACAAGTTTTTCTAAAATTTTAAATAAAAGTAGGATTTATTAAATGTAAATTTTTATGTTTACCAAATCTATTGATTGTTAGTATTTATAATAATCTAATAATGTATAAAAACATATATTAATAGTATAATTCTCAAAATTGATTTCATAATATTTTACTAAATTTTGCCAAACATTATTATAGTTTTGATGTATCAATAAAATAAAATATATATTTATATTTTTAATATAACTTCAATCAAAAAATTAATATAAAATTAAATAATAATAGTTGTTATTGAATATAATATCAAATTTTGTTTATAAATATTTGTTTTTTAATGTTAACTTTAATATTAAATATTTACGAGAAAATTATTTTTAAATGTAAATAACATTTTTTATTTTTATTTTATGAATAAGAAAAAAAAGTTTTGCAAATATTTAAACCATTTGGACATTAGACTGTCAACAGTGATTCAACACTATTTTTATACATAACTTTTTAATTTAATACTTTACTTTTTGGGAAATATTGATAGAAAATTTACTCAACACATTGATATTAAATAAAAAAATAACAAAATTTTGATTTAAAATTCTTGTTGTTATATGTTTTTAAAAAGTTATGACAAGAATTATCAATTGTTTGAGCAAAGAGAGAGAGAGAGAGAGAGAGACAAAAAGACAATTTTTATCATTTATTGTAATCGCTTTAGGCGTTTGTGTTATGGGTTTCAAATTATTTTTTCTCATGTTTTTTTACTTTATATTTATATCTTCTTAATTTATACTACAGTATTGTATATATATATAACTATATTTTGATTGGCGATTATATTGACAATGACTGACTACTACTACTACTACTACTACAACTACTGCCAGCAAAGAAAAATGGTTGGCAACCAATTTGTGTCACTGATGTTTCATCCAAATGTTGATAAACCCTAATATGAATTCATGACTTTAAGCCATATATCTGTAATGTTTCATAATATATGTATAAAAGTAGTGCAACTTTTATTTGCTGGTCAAATCTTATATACTATTTATATATAAAAATATAAGTATATATCATATATTGTACAGAATATATATATATATATTGTTAAAATGTAAGAATAAATATGATTTGTTATCTCAATTTATTTTTGGTATGTATTAGACATCGTATCTATAGTTAGATAAATATATAGATAAATGTTCTGTATATGAGGTATACTGTATTTATTTATATATATTTTTGTACCATTTTTAGTTGATATTAGCCACAAATGTGATGTCATTACTAAATATGATATCATGAATATTTTGAATTGTCAAACAAAAATACATTACACACTAACAATCAAAATCATAATATATAGCATATAACTGTTATTATATGATAATAAAAAAGTTAATAAAATTATTTCGGTAACGGCAGATTATTTATTTTTATATTTTATTTCATAAGTCATAAAATAAAGTAATTTTTAAAAAAAATTCAAATAATTTGATTTTTTATTTCATTTTTAAAAGATTGACTACAGTACTAATCAAATCACTAGCTAACTGAGTACAAACTTATTTATATTTTTTTTTTAAAACTCGGAAGTGTTAATGATATTGATAATCTATATTTGCTTTAAATTTATAATAAAACTTTAATTTTTATTTATACGATTATTACGATATCATAATAATGTTATCGAGTTTTTTATGTGACCATTTTACGATAATAAACTGTACTGTATATATATATTATTAATTACATAATAATATTGTATAATATCCCATATTGCTTAACACAAAGCACACACATAGATATACAATTTATATTATATTTATAAAATTAATGTTAATCTTTTTTGACAATTATGATACAATTTAGTCAGTAATTAGCTGCAATTATTAGCATTTTATTGCAATAATAAAAAATATATTATTATAATATATATACTGTATATATTACAATTATTATTATAATATTAGTTGTTAATTTCTGATATAAAATTATAATACAAAACACAATTGAGTGTATAATAGTTAATATGAATTTTTTGTTAATCATCATTTTGTATAACACCTTCAATATTTTTTTTTAATTTCAATTTATAACAGCATTTACTGTATATACATATAACAATAATTATTTATTTTAAATTTTAAAAAATTAATATTAAATTTTTGTTTTGTATTTTCACATAGGATATGGTCATTCAACTCCAGCAACGTAAGTATTTTTTTAATAAATAATAATAATGTTTATTTTTTTGTACCATTTTATAATAATTATTATTATATATGTCAAGATTATTATCATTTTGAATTAGCCAAAAAAGCAAATAATAAACAAAAATTAATGTTTTTATTTTTATATTAAAAACTCTTATAACAATGAACTTATATACTATTTGTTTGTAAAAAATACTGTAGTAGTTATATACAGAACATAAATCATAACTATTGAATACTATTTATAAATATATTATTTAGTATTATATTATTTTTTTATTTAATAAACTTGTTGTATATAAACATATGATATATCACTTATTTTAAATATTATTTTGACAAGTTTTTATTATCATTATTTTGACAGTAGTTTTTTTTATTAAATAACAAAATGTTTTTCAATATGATTGAAGTGAATAAAAACAATATTTTGCTTTATTTGTTTGAACAGTTATATACATACTGTACATAAAATATAATTGTTTTAATATAATTTATACTATTGTTTATTGTATTTAAATTTCTATTTAAATATTTAGTAACTTTATTTAACTCAACAAAAAAAACATTTATGTTTATAATTTATATGTTTTTTAGCAACAAAAAAATAATACTTCATAAATAGATTTGATAGACATTTAATGCAAAAAACACGTTTTTCGCACACAATTCAAAGTTATAAACATAAATCAATTGTTTATATTATTTTTATATTTAATAGATTTAATTTCAGACTTAGAATTTTATATATAAAAACATATATATATTTAATAAAATATATTTATGTTTATAACCAAACATTTGACAAATCAATGATTGATTCTCTCTCTTATAGAGTCTCAGTGTTTAGCCGCCAAATAAATATATGATTTTTGTTTCATATTTTTTATTCAATACTCACACACATACACAACAAACACAGCATTATTATTATTATTAAGCAATAAAATGTGTGTGTTTTTTGTTCATTGACAATAAATATCAATCAATGGTTTAATAGTTTGTTATTTGCTCTTTCATAGTCTCTCTCTCTCTCTTTCTCTTTTTCTTTTTCTCTTTTTCTTTTTCTCTCTCTCTCTCTCTTTCTCTCTCTCTCTTTCTTATATTCTCTCTTATATGTAATATTGTCTTTCAATTTAATTCACTTACTAACTGATTGTCTTTATCTATCAATCTATTTATCTATATATATATGGTTTGGATAGTGTGGGCGGAAAGACATTTTGCATGTTCTATGCATTAGCGGGTATACCCTTAGGCCTTGTGATGTTCCAGAGTATTGGCGAACGATTAAACACTTTTGTCGAGAAAGGACTCAAACAATGCAAGAAATGCTTCCGATTCAAGAATACTGAGGTTTGTGTATTTGAATGACAATAATAACAGACAAAACAACACAAATAACAGTCACACAAAAAAAACTTTCTTTTTTTATATATAATCACTTAATCACTTCCCTATCACTTCTGCTTCAATGAATTCAATTGAATATTCAAGAATATTCTGGTATTAGACAAGTAATACATATAGTAGTAGTAGTAGTAGTTATTACATAAAATAATAACTAACTTTATTGTTTAGATGACAACAATTTCTATATAATATTAGTGTGTAAATATGGTATACAGTACTATAATATTTTTATGTAATATAAATACATCACTCACTTTGGTTGTGCCTCAATAATGACCGGAAAACTAATACTAAATTTACTGACAAACTAATTATAATACAGATTAGTGTTTCATAAATTTTAATTTTTCTTTCTTTTTATTTTGTGACTACGGATGTATAATATATATATATATATATATATATAATTATAACAAATAAGTAATAAATACAAATAACTGTGATTACGTAACACTGTATTAAAAAATAATATATAATACTAACTAATACTGTAAATGATTATTCAATTTGTTTAGTCGCTCTCTTTCTCTCTTTTTAATAAAACACATTGAAATTAACCCGTATTTAAAAGAAATGTTAGCTATAATTTTCATAAAATACATATTTATTTTATTATTTTTGGGCATCTAAAACAAGAATATATAGTTTTATTCCTAATTATATAATACATACACTAACAGTATATATAAATAATTAATTGGATGAATATATGGTTTTAGACTATTTAATCATTTTTAGTGCATTAATTTGTATGAAAATTTTCTAAATTATATACTGGATATTATAATATATATTTAATATTTAGACTAAAAGTTAAAGACAAAAATTTTTCTGTTATTGATAAATGACAGTCAAAATTGTTTGGATCGATAAAATCAGGATTCATATTATATACTGTATATATATACAGTCTATAATATAGCTTATAGTAAAATATGTTACGATTGATGTATACGTGTATTCTGTATATATATATATAAACCGTATGTATAACAGCCAATAGCCTCCAAAAAGAGTTTACTTTTTAAATTACATGCACTTATATGTTGACAAAATTTGCAATTTTTGCCAAAACTGACTGTCGATTCAAATAAAAATAAAAAAATTTGGAAATTCAAATGTAATCAACGCAACTATTTTTCCTCTCAAAGTTATATTTATTTTATTTATTTATTTATTTATATTTATTTATAGCAAAGATAAAAGAGCCAAACATATTTTTGAATAAATTATTTGTATATTTTTTTTATAAATATTTAATAATAATAAATGTATGGAATTTTCTTTTTACAAATAAAATTTACTATTAATTTTCAAATTTAAATGATAAATTATATAATATCAATTTTTATTACATAAAATAAATATGGTTTATTAGAAAATATTAGATGTAGTATTATATTATATTATTTAAAAAATATAGTCTATAGTTATAAAATTTTATAATATAATAATAAAACACAATTATTTATCACCTAAATATTGTAAACATTAAATGATACGATATATGTTTATAATAATAATAATAAACTTATACTAAATTTAATTAGAGTTTATTTTAAATATATTAGCAATTTAGCAGTAAATTAGTTTACGTTTTTATAGGAACCCATAACTTAAATGTTTGGCCATTAAAACAGACAACAACTCATTTGCTGAGACAAAACTTGTGTATAATGTCTTTACAATGCAATTATTTTTAATGAAATGTTGTTTTTAAAAATATTTTAGCAAATTGTTGTGTTGGCGGAGGCATTCAAAAATATTTATAAATTACTATTTAGTTTAATAATTTAAGCATTTGTGTTAATTGATATTTTACTACTTAAAAACAACATTTTTCTAAAAATAAAATTAACAAAACTTTTGTAATTTGAATTATATATAAATAAATAAATAAATAAAAATCGATTTTTATTTTTGTTAAATTTTATAACTAAATAAAAAATTATTTTTAGTATTTAGAAGAATAATCACTGTTTATTTTGTATACTGAAAATTGTTAGCAAATTAAAGAAAAAACTTTATTATTATTATTATAAAATTTTCAATACAACCAACAACGATAACAAAATAAAATTTTATACAATAAATATGTTATGTAAATATAAACCATTAAGTCGACTATTTATTGTTGAAAAAAATTAAACAAATGTTGACACTTAATATAATCATTAAGTTTTTCGCTTAAGTGATTGCCAACAATACAATCTTGTTGTATATACGATGTGACACATATATTATTTTAAAAAACATTTTATTATTATTATTAAAAATAATAAAACACTGTTATTTTATACTCATTATTTATTTTGATACACACAAAACACATTCAAACATAACAAAATTAATATATATACAGTATAAGTTTACTGTATATTTGTGTTTTATGCAGATAACATTATTAACAATATATATATATATATATATATATATTAATATATACATATATAAATGTGTGTTTATTTAGATAAGAAGAAAAATAATTTATATTTAGATTATATATATTTAGTTGTTATTGAAAAAAGTTTATACTTTTAAGCTATGAAATACTGCTATAAACATTTCAATAGTTAGTAGTTTACTTACATTACATACACAGATTCATACTGTTTATTTTTTTAAAAATAAATTGTTAAGTTTTTAAAGAAAATATGGTTAAATGTTAATTTTTTTAATAAAAATACTTTATATAATTAGGTTTAGTTTTTTTTCAAACATCATATTTAATTAGTTTAATAACTTAATACTTTAGCTTAAATTATTTATAATTTAATATTCAAAAATGTTGTACATATAATATTATATATTATACAGTATGTCTGATTTAAATATACAGTACATTATATATTATATTTAGTCAATTATATATATTATACAGTATTATACAGTATCTTTTGATACATATGCTAATTATTGTAATATTAATATTGTATATTAAATTAATCATTTAATTAGTTATATACAGGTATTTTTAGTTATAGTGATACTTAATTTTATCCACCTACACATTACAATTATTGATTAATTAAATATTTACAAAATTTAGATAAGTTTATTTTTTATTACAATTAAAAATAATTATAAAAATAAACATAACTTTTATTTAGTTTCACATAACTACAAAAAACACCTAATTCTTACAGTAAATGATTTTTTTAAGGAAACGGTAGTTTTGTCTACACATAGTCTACAAAATAAATAATCCCCACTAAGACATACCGTAATAATATATAGTATAATTGTTTTATTAAATAAAAATATCGGTCAACAATGAAAACCATAAACTCATTTGTTATGTAAGGTTTCAGTCAATTCAGTCAAACTAAACAAAAGAAACTAAATTATAATATACAGTGTATTATAATTAATATTAATATACAATGTAGTGGATGGTATTTATAATATATAATAATAATATTTTTACCTATACATATAGTATATATATATATTTTTATTTATTTATTTATATTAATATTACCATATATTTTTTTAAATATTTTTAATTAATTTCAAAACTAAATAACAAAACTAAATGAAATATTTACAATCATACAAAATAATTCTAGTAATAAATTAAAATGTTTGCTACTACTAAAAAATTTAAAACTAAATATTTTTATATAATAAATAAAAGGTTTAAATAGATCATTAAAAATAAAATAGTAAATGTCAAAAACAGTATTACACACAAAAAAAGTTATAATTTGATAACAAAAACAGTCAAATAGCTATCAATATTAGTATTATAAGACCTTTAGTTTAATTACTGACTGTTTCAAGAAATAAAAACTTTTAATCATAATTATTATTATTATTATACTGTATTTTATGTTGTTTGTAAACATTAATAGACATTAACAAAAAAAAATCGGGTCTAATAAATGTGAGTCTACAGTATAGACTCTACACGACTGTGTAATAACTATTTTTAATGTAATTTCATAATAGCATTGATATTATAGCTGTGTTTCTATGTTTATTATATCAATTTATTTGATGCCTTTTATATTAAATAAACAGTTTCTTAAATTTATATTATGTAAGATTTAAGCCAAGCTTTATTTCCTTAATATATATATATATATATATATATATATTTATATTAATTTATAATATATATAAATTAATGATTGCTGTTTAAAAATTTGCTATTTTATATACTGGTACTTTCTATACAGTACACCCACACACACACACACACTCATATCATAATAGTTTAAGTGTTACACTCATAATGTCAATATAATAATATAGTTTAACCTAAAAAAAACTTCAAATTGTTTTCTATAACAGAATATTCTTTAAATAGTATTTAATATTATATTAATATATAGTATTATTATAAGTATTATATTCTTATATCTTTTTTAAAATATTAATATAACATATGTATGATTAATGATAATTTTTACTAATTTTATTTCACTTTTTTCTCTATCTATTTGTTCACAATTGAAATGTGTGTCCAATAAAACCAACAAAACCAATAACAACAACAACAAAATACAAATGACATGTTTAACAGGTGACAGAAACTAATCTGATATGTTTTGTGTCGATATTGTCAACATTGGTGATGACTACCGGTGCCGCAGCTTTCAGCAAATATGAACAGTGGAACTATTTCGATGCATTTTATTATTGTTTTATAACATTGACTACAATAGGTTTCGGTGATTATGTTGCCCTTCAAAAGGAAAGTGCTCTGCAATCACAGCCCGAGTACGTGGCGTTTAGTTTAGTGTTTATACTGTTTGGATTGTCGGTAGTGTCGGCCGCCATCAATCTACTAGTGCTTCGCTTTTTGACACTCAATACGGAAGATGAACGCCGTGATGAAGCCGAAGCGGCAACCCTAGCACAGGGAGCTGTCCGGCTAGAAGGCGATGTCATCACAGCCAACGGGTCCATCATTAGTGGTCACGAGCCCGACAAGGGCGGCGTGTCCTACGATAACGATGAAATTGCATCGGTGTGTTCGTGCACGTGCTACGGACCGCGCAGCCACTATCAGCAACGATCTCGACGACGCTCAACAAAATACTCGTTCCGGAGGGACAGTGGTGTCTACTATAGACAGGGATCACATTTGCTTCCATTGCATCTGTTCCGGTCAGCGTCGGGTTCGTCAGAAATTGGTGATCACGACTCCATATTTGGACAGTCGGGCGGCGGCGTCAGTAATCCGTATCCACAACACCAACACAATCCCCAGACTATGTTTATCAATGCACCGATAAATAGTGATCCCTCTCTCGAGGAAGTGACTAATAAAAGAGCGTCCATTTAATGAAATGACCAGATTTTTGATGAAATTATTTATTAAATTATTATTATTATTATAATGTTATAAAATTTATTAATTAATAATAATTGTTATTATTATTCATCGATTCTTCTTATCGTCTTTTTTTGTCGACTATATATATATAATATATTTTATTCTCAACTGTGTATATAATAACATCATTTTTAGACATCAATTCAAACATTTTAAAACAATTTTTTGAAATCTTGTTATATATATATATATAAATATATAGTATAAATATATATATAAATAATAAATATCTATTTAAAATGCTAATAAAACAAATTAAGTGATCAAAAAAGTATAAATAAATTGTGTATATAATAATAATTATTGATTATAAATGTAAATATAAGATATATATATACTAATAATTTATACAAATATATTATTATTGACTATTATTATTATTGTAATTATTAAAATTATTATAATTGTAATTTAACAAAAAATGTTATAAAAATTGTTAACAATTTTAAAAATTATTCAACTTTTTTCCAAAAAAAAAAAATCAAACTGATGACAATTTCTTTTTTAAAAATGCTCAAGCAGCAATTAATTGTGTATTTAAAAAATGCATACTGTATTTATTGTACAGTAAATATTATCACACAATTTAACAAACAAAATAAATGCTAAACTTTTTCAAATAGGCTTAATATTATTATTATAATTAGTATTATATATAATTGATAAAAAAATAATAATTGTATAATTGATTGTCAAATAATTTTATTTTTATTTATTTATTTATTTTTATTATTATCATTATAATTATTACAATTAATTGATTTATATGATTTTTAAAAATTTATAAAACAATTTAATTTTACTAAATTATTTATTACCTTTTACTATTTAATGTAAATTTGTTAACTATATTTGATTATTTACAAAATCAATTAATGTTAACTTACTATCGATTCATTTTAACTGTTTATATATCATTTAATAAAAATAATAATAATTAAAACATTTACATTAATGATGTTTTTAATCGCATGAGAGTTGGCACAAAATAATTGTCTCATTTGTTTTTATATAATAACAATTTAAAAAATCATATGATGGTTAATAATTTAATTTGTTTGAATTTAAATAATTTTATAAATAAAAAAAAATAAAAATTTAATTGAAAAAAATATATACTAAATGGTCTTTTCTTTTGTACAATAAACATAAAAATATAAATTTGTTATTATTGTAAATTGATAAATTTCAATGAGTATAATATGAAAAAATGATAAATTCAAAAAAATCTTAGATTTATTTTAACAAATAAAACAAATGAATTCATTTTTTATTTATTAACAATAAAGGTTTTTTGCTCTTTTTTATTTCATTTCTTTTATTAATATTTTTTTGAAAAGTGATATATAACAGTATATAATATATAACAGTATATCAATAACTTAATTAAAATTAATGAACAAAAAAAATATAATCACTAAATTTTTAAAAAAATATTTTTTTGGCGTTAAATACAGTACTTAAATATACATATAAATTTTATATAGTTATTATAAATTGACAAATAGACCAACAATAATAATTATTTATATATTACTAACTATTATAAGTTATAACTAAATAATAATAACATTTAATATTATTTTTTGATTCATACACATTTGGCAATATTTTTTCACTTATTTCAATTTAAATAACAGTACAGTATATTGTAGTATTCAGTTCACTTAAAGTTATGACATGCTTTTGTATAGCCCATAACTATTATAGTTTATATATATATTGTACATATAATAATAATAATTGATGGCATCATTTAAATGAACGCTAAAATTATTAAAAATTTTTAGCTTTCAAATGCTTTTGACAAAAATGATTGTGAATGACATGTAAGTTAATTATTATGTCAAATGTCTTTTTCAATGAATTTTCTATTATTAATAATACCATTGCATTCATATTGTTTCCATAATCCACAATATTATTGTCGTTTATATAATAATAATAATAATATGAATATATGATAAAAATCTAAATATAAATGCACTTCAAGTGTTTCATAAAAGATATTTTTTAAACTCTGTTTAAAAAGTTTACTATAAATTAATGATGAATAATATAGTATAATATGTTTGGCGATTTTAAATTTATAATAATAAATGAAAGTGTAAATAAGGTATGTTATTATATAAATAAATAAAATTTCGGGACAACAGGAATATTGTTGTGGAAAAAATAAGATTCAAATTAGTAGAGGATTAGTAAAGATATTGTAGTATTAGCTAAAATATTCAGAATAATTTATATATAATGTATATATTGTATATAACTTTATATAAAATAGCTGTACAATAAATTTTATTTTAGTTTCTATTGTATTAAGTTTTGCATATTTTTTAGATTTAAATCTAATTATATACTTAAAAATTTTAAAAAATGATAATCATCACTAGTTGCCAATCATTATTTTATGAATGTATTATTTTTATACCATATTATTATTGTATTTATTTTGAATATTCAATACCTTTTCTGACTCCGACTATTAATATACTATAATTTCATATAATTAATAAACAATCTGTATCTAAATGTCTGTATCTAATGTTATGTCAACTAAATATAACTAATATTTTTTTAATATTTTTTTAATCATTATTATTATTAATAATTTATATTTAGTAGTAAACAAAATGTTTAAAGTATTTTTTTAGTTCATTTAATATTAGTTTTTCAATTGTTTTATCGTATATTCACTTATATTCATTCTATAAATAAAACTATTATTTTATTTATTTATATTTACATTATTATAATTTTATTATTAATTTTTTTGTTAATTGTTTACAAAAATATCAATACATACACAGTATTGTATGCATATTTGGTATATATTTATAAAAATTATATAACAATAAAGTGTATGTTTGTCTATGAATGTGACCTAAAAATATCATTAATTAATGACATATTCATAACCAGAATCGCGACTGCAGTATAATAAAAGTTTGAATAAAAATTATATTATATATTATATTATTAGTGTATTTATAGTAAGCACTTAACAAAATTATCAATTATTATAATTCTCTAAACGTTTATTATTAATAATAATTTCTTATAATGCGTCCATATTATTATTATTATTAATATTGTCATACAAATAGTTGTTAACATTTTAATAATATTTTAGTGATAAAACTAATAATAAAAACATTTTTCTTGGTTTTTTTACAACTTAGATAATCATAACTCATTTTTTCAAAAATACTATTGTTTTTTTAAATATTAAATTTCTATAAATAATACTAATATTGATATCTAAAAAGATCCGGCTTAATCTGCTTAACTGTTTTTTTTATAAATAAAATATTCAATAAAAATATAAAAACATTTTTATTAATACATGTATACTATTAATATAATAAAAATTCTTTGTCTAAAAATTCCATAAAATAACAATTATAGCAAAAATAATTATTCAAGTATTATAAAATGTGTACAAGGAAAAATAATCAAATATTCAATGAAAATTTATTTTTAAATAATTATTACAATACAATTGTAAATTTATTGTTATTTAGGCAAACTATTGCAATTGCATTAGTTAAATATTTTTTAATTTTTATTTCAAAGAGTTGAGCCTATATTTTTGAAGTTTTAATTATTGTTTATTATGATTAACCCAATAAGTAGATTAATAATTCAATTTATCATGTTACTTTAGTTAATAATAAGTCTACATTATATACATTGAATCAATTATTGAATCAAACTTTTTCATTAATTTAATTAATACTGTGTAGTACTCATTGTATTCATTAATTATTTGTGTCCAGTAATAACAATATTTAATTTTATTAGTCATGATTGTACAAAAAAAATAATAATTTTCAATCATTTAAAATATATGCCAATTATACGAATCATTTTTAACTTTTGTATTTATAAAAAAATATATAATGCTTATCATATTGTTTATGTCAGTTATATGTACTCACTATATAATTATATCGTATAAAAATCATTGATAATAAATGATAACAATTAAATAAAAGACACAAAATTAATAATATAGTAATAGTTAACATTTAGATTAGTATTTACAAAAAATATACTTAAATTTATAAATAGAAAAAATATAGTATTATATTATAATTACTATTTTTAAATAAATTTTTTATGTGTATTTTTTGAAATACCGATATTTCACATTCAAATATACTGTATATCATTCAACAAAAAATAAAATATAAATCGTTAAATCCAGAGAATCAAGTAAATGATGAATGCATTGAATGACCGGACAATAATTGTATAGCAATTGTACAGTCAGTGTAATGTAAATAAATAATGATTTGCTTTTTATTTTTTGCTTTTGGACTGAGATTTTCAATGAATATAACCAATGATTTGCAAACCCAATGCTGTCATCAACTGCTGAGTTGTTGCACTTAACTAACTATCAGAATATTCAGTAGAAACTAATAATATTTCTATATTTTATTTAAATATGAATCTAAATAAATAACCCGAAAAAAATGATAATTATTTTTATCTATTGAACAGATGACAACATTCTATATATTATATATCAATATATTATAACATTATATATAAATTATATATAGATATGATATAATGACAGTTTTATACAGTATATGTGGATAACTTGATGCACTGTAATGTACCCAGCAAAAAAATCAATTGATATAATTTTATTACTTTTATAGTATATTGAGTGATTGATTGATTAGCTAAATGATTGAGGTATATAATAAATAAATAAATAATAAATATATATTATTTATTATATATTAATATACACAGTATGTTTGGCTAAAATAACTCATTGATTAACTTATTGATGGATGGATTGTATGAATGAACGGATTCATGAGTGAATGAGGTGAGAGAGAGAGAGAGAGAGAGAGAGAGAGAAAGAGAGAGAGAATGAAATTGAAATGTTTGATGAATTTAAATGTTAGACAAATATCAAGTTTTACAATAGTTTTATAGCCACTAAATGTCAATAATGAACAATAATTCATTGCAGAGATTGTGATTTATTTAAGTGCAATGCAATTGTTGTTAAAATATTGATTTTGATTGAGTAAACACTTTCAAACATATGTCGCTTTCAACTCTCTCTCAACTGTTTTTTGAAGACACACATCGATCGACACGACTGCTGATGAAGAAGACCTGTAGACCAGAAACAACACGAAGAGCTTCTGTATGAATGCAGTGGTCGACCAAATGGTTATTTATAATCCTTTTGGCTTTTTGTTTAAATCCTTTATATAGTCTCAATAAAAGGCATATATATATATAGTGTATGTATCAATACAATTGAAATGTGATTGTAAGCCCACTCTGAAAAGGCAACAACTCTTCAAAGAGTTTAATACTACTATATTCTGTTGTATAGATCTGACTGTACAGTCGTGGACCTGAATGAAAGTCTGTGATAACCAGATAAGCGCTTAATTTCAATACATATTATTTCTATAGTAAGTATTTAATTCAAATAAACCTAACATTTGTACAAACATTATATATATATATATAATATCAATATAACAAGTTTTGGGTGTAATATTTAGCAGAATATAATTCACTAACAAATTCAATCTCAAAATAAAATACTTATCCCATTTTGATGAACACTACTATTACTACTGTATTCAACTATAAAATATCTCATTTCAATAAATTAGTCCAAATTTTAGACTAAACTTTTTTTAGGGACATTAAATACATAGAAAATGTTTTCAGTGCCTTATACTATACACAATGTGTTTCTCTAATTTAGCCGCTATTTGTGACTAATAAAAACAATTTTATAGTGCAAAACATTTAATAATAATAATAATAATACAAGCAATCGATTCAAACAAATATACTAATAAAACATTGCTATAGATAGTAAGTCTACAATTTTACACAATAATATTATTGCCATTGATTTTCAATTAAACATTTGAGAGAGAAATAAAAAAAAGTAATGCAATAAAAGTAAAATAACAGTTGAAAAATATAAATATAAATCAATGTTTCAATTTTTTTATTGATAAATTCTAGTATTTATTTTTATTATAGTATTCAACAATTTTGATATTGTTGCTTTCAATTGGTTTCAACATTTGCATTTTTTTATTAATATACAAAATATTGTATAAAAACCAAAAAATTATTGTTTTTTGTGTTACATAATAATTCAAACAATTAACAAATTAATAATTATTTTTAATTGTAATTCATTTATAGTTATAACAATATTATTATTATTATTATGATTATTATTATTATTATTGCACTCATCATGAAAGCTACAAAATAACTCTAAATATATATTGATTTTCAAAAACAATAATTTAATTATATATATATTTTTAAAAATATAGATATAATTTAAATCTATATCAATAGATTTAAAACAAAATGATATCGTTTTTCAGATTATTTATTATTATTATTTTTGGTGAATCATGTTTGTGTTAAACAATATTTTTTAAAAGTCAATAGAAATTGTAAACACGTTTGTCAATAGACAGGGAAAGACAAACAGATAATAGAGAGAAAAAATATCAGTAAAATAGTAATCATATAAAAATCAACTAACATTTCATATAATGTGTGTGTATTTATATATATATAAAAATAACTCAACACAATGACAAAACATTTGTTTGAATTGTGAGACCCAGTTATACTTATACAGTGAATATAACTTAGTAGTTAAATCATAATAATAATCACACATACATATATGAAAAATAACAATAACTAATGAGAGACCAATTAGTAGGTCTACTAAATAATAATAATAATAATAAACACTTATTTTTTGAGCAAAAAATTAATTGTGTGCTCATATGTAACAAAAGTGAGAGCACAGGCCGGCGTTACTTTAATTAGGTTCGGAAGCAGTCCTTTATAATATCCTTTAATGCCTTCAAACCTATAGATGTGTTCAAACAAAAAATATGAAAAAATGGGGAGAAAAAAGAAAATATCTTTGAAATAAATGTATTTTTCAATGTTTTTTCGTAACAATATTATATAAATATATTTATATAGATATTTAATTTCTTATTATATATATATATATTTATTTAGAAGTATTAACATATATGACTTATTTGTATTTTAGAAAATTTGTTTAGTTTTTTTATAATAACATAACATTTATAAGTTTTTTGATACTGTATTAATAATTTTTGTTGTTGTAAAATTTGTCTTAATATATTTACAAGTGTTTGTTAATTGTGTGTTATTGTAATAAACATATAAATAATCTCAAAAATAAAATAATATCCACTTTTTTGTGTATATTTTTGTATATATATCTTTGTTTGTAAAAGTGGTATAATTTTTTATTACGCCCCCAAACACAGCATAAGTTGAAAAAATAATTGTCATATAATTATTAACAACACAAACTATACAATAAATTTATAATTTACACACATTTAACAAATTATAACATTTATAAATATAAAATTTTTATAAAAATGAAAAGATAAACCAATATACTTTCATTAATATAAAAAACAAAAATATTAAAAAATATTCAATTGAAATTATAAACTTATATTAAAAGTGATAAATAGCTCATATATATATATATATCATATAAATAATTATTAATATTATTATTTATAAAAGACTAATAATTTATTTTAAAAATAATTATTATAAATATTTATATATAACAAGAGATAATAAATATAAACACAAACAAACAAACAAAATTCAAAACTATTATTAACCGCTATATCACGACATTTATTATTATTAATAATTATTATTCTTCGACATATCCTCTGTTGAAACTCTTGGACTGTGTTGTCGTTGGCGATAGTTTTTCATATATAAGGAAGACGATGCATATGTTGGGCGTCACATGAATCAGATAAGCACCCAAACCCTTGTAAAAGCCTCCCAATCGTTCAAACCTAGAGATGGGGTTTTTATGTAAAGTGTCTTAACCTTTAAACTCAAAAAAGCCAACAATTTTTTGTGTGTGTTTTATTTTATGTGTTTCACTTACGGATAATTATCATTCATTTTTTTAAAAAATATTTATATTATATATAAATATCTTATTATTATTACTATTAAAACAGTACAGTATATTTAAAGCTCGCTTATCATTATTATTATAGCTAAAGTTAGTTTTATAATATTATATTTGTCATGTATTATAGATTTAAGAATTATTATTTTTGTTGTTGAAAAAAACATAACAAACTAAACATTAAATTAACACAAAAGCTCTTATTTTTTGATACTTTTTTAGAATAAAGATAATCAAAAAAAAAACTATAAGTTAATATTAAACCAAAATAAAATATAAATTTAAAAAACAAGTGGATATTTTTCCCGATATATATATATATATATTAACATAATATCACTAAATTTTTAGTGCACTTTTATTTTATTCAAGAAAAAATGTTTATTTAATTTAATCTTATTTTAAAAATTATTTTGCGATTTCAATTATTTCTACTATTGTCTTCATTATTATAACTATAAAAAAAAGTTTTTAAGATATATTATATACAAACTTAAATTTTCTGTAGAATAAATTTTTAAATTAAGTTACGGTAAGACTTTTTTGGAAAAAAGTGCACCAAAAATAAAAGTGAAAATAAAATAAAATTATTTTTTAAAAAGATAGCGAAATATAATAATAAAACCGATGAATATATTAGAAATAAATTCAATTTATATAAACAACAACAACAACAATATATATATACGGTATATATATATATACTGATATATTTAAGGCTAATAATAATAAAAAATAAAATCAATTCATACCTCCAGGTTTTGCGGATCACATCAATCACACCATTATAGCTGCTGTGCTGGTCCTGTAGTCGGGCCCGTAGTACTTGATATGGATATGTAATGCTGGCGGCAAACAATTTACTGAGTGCCGCACACGTCAGATATGCCATTGTACCCAACTTGCCATCGGATTCAAGATTATGTTTATCAACATAATATCTTTTCAGCTCCTCGTAGGCCATAAACTGTAGAGCACCATGGCTTACACCTAGAATACCGGGTACATAGCCCCGATAGAGACCGGGAACGCCTTCAAATTTGTACACTTTGCGCAGGGCGTCTACCATTCCCGAGTAACGTTTCGATGGTGGTAGATTCTGCATTTCGGCAATGGTTCCGTATTGCAAACACATACGAGTCTTGACCACCCATATGGGATTCGTTATCGTTGTGGTCAATATACCGGCCTCTATAGTCATTGAATTGAATTTTAACATTACAATAGATAGATATTTAAAATAAGTTAACAATTCATAGGATCAGTCATTATAACAATTGTATTTTTTAAGATTTCAAAATAATAAAATAATTTAGAAATTTTAATAATTATATCATTATATTTGACTGATCCCTAATTGATGATAACCTCCTTCCCCCCCCCTCTAGTAATTACATACCCGCAGCGGCCAATATATGTCGTGCCGGACCTAATGTAGTAGAAGTTCCTTCGGTCATATTAGACTTAATGGTATTATAACTATAAAAACAAAATTGGATATAAATATAATTACCGATAAATAAATAAAATTCATAGAAACATACAATAGAAAGTAGAACCCCCAGGAGATTCCGGCCCCCCAACAATTAGGTGTTACTCCACGGTATAGACCTTTAACACCTTCATGTTTGGCTATAGTGGTGATGGTGTTAACCAATCCCTGATAATTAGGTCGCACTTTCTGGCCGTCATTTACTGTAAATGATAAAAAATAAGTGATATTAGTTTCAGATAATAAAATCTCTAATATAAGATCAATTGCAGTGATATATGATAATAATAACACCACAATTGACAATATATTTATCTGAAATATTGAAGATATACCGGCCAAACGTATTTTGAGTAAATCCAACGGATGTAAGACTAGAGTGGATACGACACCGCCGGCTATGCCGGCGATCAGGTGCTCGTACTTCACGTGCGACAGAAACTTTGGCACCGAAGAAGCAGAAGACGCAGCGCCGCTACTGGCGGTGATGGCCTTCATCTGACTGTTGGTCTGACCACTGATGGCGTTGTTATTGACACTCATTATATATATGATATGATTATAATTATTATTATTGATTAAATCAATCACTTATTTTAAAATACAATAACTTAATTAAATTATATATAATTTTTTATATCCTATGAAATCAAATGAGATTTTTATTTGTGTCTTCAAAAAAAATCATCAAATGATAATATTGTTAGACATCATCTATTCTTGTTGTTGTTGTTGATAATGATGTGATGACTACTTTGTGGCTGTTTTTTTGATGTCACACAACAACTATCACTATAACAACAATTGATTGGCGATATCAATGCCGCGGTGTTGGTGGTGATGGTCAGCAACAGATGAGTGGCCAATCATTTTTCTGGCCGATAGTTATGAGAAAATGTTTTTGTTTTAATGATATTATTATTATTGATTAAATCAATCACTTATTTTAAAATACAATAACTTAATTAAATTATATATAATTTTTTATATCCTATGAAATCAAATGAGATTTTTATTTGTGTCTTCAAAAAAAATCATCAAATGATAATATTGTTAGACATCATCTATTCTTGTTGTTGTTGTTGTTGATAATGATGTGATGACTACTTTGTGGCTGTTTTTTTGATGTCACACAACAACTATCACTATAACAACAATTGATTGGCGATATCAATGCCGCGGTGTTGGTGGTGATGGTCAGCAACCGATGAGTGGCCAATCATTTTTCTGGCCGATAGTTATGCGAAAATGTTTTTGTTTTAATGATATTATTATGAATTGATTAATAAAATCATTGTTTTATTTTGTTTTGCAAAAACAATGTGTCAATCGATGTCTTTACTCAATAATAACAACACATTCAAGCAGTCATTGCAAGCATTGAAGTCAAACATAACAATCAATACGTCCCTCACATACACACTGTTGTTGTCTATACAGTATGTCTAGCATTCAATTCATTCAATGCATCCAATAGTATGTTTCCAATGCCCTGTAGTTATGCAACCATTTGAATGCCAAACTGTGTGTGAAATGTTTTGCAAATTTTTATTATTATTATAAAATATTATTACAGCACTTCTCTGATGCAATAATTGCTATTAATTGCGGATTTTTATTTAATTACAGTAAAAATAAATATAATTTATATTCAATATTAATATCGTCATAATTTATTCACTATTATTAATGTTATTATTATTATTATTGCCTTTTTCATTGACGTAAAACTATTGAAAAAAATTAATTAATTTCTATTAACTTATATTTTTAATTTACATATATAAGGTATACTGCTTTTTGAAATTAACTATAAAATTGTTATTATATTATTGTTTTAGAAATTTATGTCAATATTTTACTTATTAAAACTATTAAAAAGTAGACTTTGGATATATAAATAATTATCGGAATATTTCCTTTTTTGAAATGCGATTATAAAATCAATATTACTGTATATTATTCATTTAGATATACATTTTGTATCTGATATTTATATATTTGTATAATAATATTTAATAAATAAAAAAAATTAATTTGCGATATAAAAATTAATTCACTTTCTTGTCATATCGATATATTATCATTATTATCATTGATTATGAAAACAGTGTTTAAAATATTACTTTATTTCATTATACAGTAAACAACTATTTAAAAAAATAAATGATTTTATTTATAAGATTTGTTTTTTTAATCTTTGGCACAAACATCATAACATGTTTTTTTGTAATAATTTTTAAAAATCAATTTAGGATTTACTGCAAAGTTTTATATTTCAATAAATATTAGTTGTTTAATTAAAATTATTATATGATATAATAAACTAATATGTTATAAACTTTGAACTAACTATTTTTAAATAAAATACTAATGCATATAAATAGACAATAAAATTATTGTTAAAATAGTCTTATGTCATACTTATGATTAAATTCGTAGACAATAGTTATGTAAACTAATAATATAGCTATTATTTGAAAACTTTACAATAATTGATAAATTTTTTATTAAAAAATGTTGTTTATGTGTATAAATAATTCAATAATTATTTATATATACAGTAGTTTACTTTAATTTCATAATTGTTATTTCGCTATACATAATGTTAGATTAGATCCTAATAATAGAGAGAATCTTAAACAGCGGCGGCGATGCTATTGATTACAATTATCTGGTCAATAATACGTTGAACTAAAAAGTGACCAGGTGCAATGTTGTAGATAATTTTAAACTGAATAAAATTGCTATTGGTCATTTTTTAATTAATTGTATGATTTGCCAGATAATTGAAAGTCGACTATCATTTATAAATTTTTTAAACAGTCTACTTTAAATTATCTGGCATATAGTACAATTAATTAAATATTGACTAATTACAATTTTATTTAGTTTAAATTTATCTACAACATTGCCCTTGGTCACTTTTTAATTCAACGTATTGTTGACCAGATAATTGTAATTAATATCATCGCCGCTATCATCGCCGTCACCGCTGTTTAAGACTCTCTGCCAATAATATGAAAATAGTATTAAAATATTGCACCAAATATTCCTGTTTAACAAACTGTCGAATATATCGTATTTAATGTTAGAAAAAAAATTGTTATTAAATTGTAGTCAAATGTGACAATAGGTTTGGACAGTGACTGACATTAAATTTGACCAAAAAATATGTGAATTTATGAATACAATTATAATACCAATAATGAAATCAAAACTATTGATTATATGTCTGATTAGTTTAACAATTGGTATAACATATCAACAAAATTTGACATCTCATCCATCGATGCCATCAAATGTCTCAACTTTGACAACAACTTCTTCATCATTAAACACAATTAAATCGGAAGAGATAACAATGACAATAGATATATCGGACGGGATCGAAAATAATACCGATTCTTCACCGAATGATAAGACTAACTCATCGACAACTGTGATGATGACCACCGATGACCACAACTCGACTGTAGCGACTAATCGGCAATCGACTACTTCACGTCCAGTTATCTATCATTACAATAGAGACATCATAAAAGGAAATCAATGGATAAGAGGTGTCGAAATGGTTATATTGGTTATGGCTTTTATCACCAGTATGTCAGCCATTTGGATCAGCTGTCGTCATATTGTCGACTCAATTGAACCCGAAACCAATGACATACTGGCGGAAAACGGTGCAACAGGTGGTCAACAAAACAGACAAACTATGGCCCAAATTATACGCGAATTGACAATCGGTTTACCTTTGGATTCAGTTCAAGAAGACAAGCCTTAAGATAACAAATAATGACTTTATTTTTTGAGTTATTTCTAACCGTTTTTTAAAAATTATTTTATTGGGAAACAAAAAACTAATTTACTATCTTTTAACTCTTTGCTTACAAAAAATTTATTGTTTGTCTTTATATTTAATGATAACTTCAAATGTAAACTTCCTTTTCATTCAATTAATTTTTTTTCTCTTACTATCAATACATTTGTCACAATAATTGTTTATTAAATATGATATACAGTACTATATTATTATTAAAAAGACATTCAGACTATTTATAATTGATAACAATTTTTTTCTTTTATTTGTTAAACAATTATAAAATGTTTATCACTTATGCTAACCTCACATGAAATTGATTTGAATTGTATTTCAGATAAATTTATTAATTGTAATTATAGCTAATCAAATAAAATTACAGATAAACCTAATATACATTTTTAATGTCTATACTTAAATAGCAAATAATAATTTATTATTAATACCTTTAAATTTATATAGCAAACAGCATTTACCTCATATAATCAGTTTATTATTTTGTTTTTGATTATTATTGAATTAATACTCTAAAAAACAAAAGTTCAATAAAATAAATGTTAAATAATAGTACGGTAATGTTAAAACAAATATAAAATAATAAAGTTTTTCACTAATTATTTGCATTGGAAACTGCTTAATTGAAAAGTGATATATTATTAGTTATTAAATAATTATATATTTTTTAAAAATATACAAGTTAGTTTTATTATTATTATTATTTTTATAAAAAATGAATAAGTTGATAATATATTTGTTGAAAATTTGTTTTATTATGGTGGCAAACAATAATTGTTTAAATGCCAACCAAAATGATAATCAACAACAACAACAACAACAAGGTCTTCAACCGGTCAACTATAGAAACAATACCATTGGTATTAGATATAACGGAACCGTTTGTTTATTGATGGCATTCAAAAGCCTGAATATTAGTGTAACATCAAAAACAACGGATAAAACATTTATGAATCAAATTATCGATGACAGCGACGAAATTCAGATAATTGTCGACAGAAGTAGTTGTCTTAATATTACCGATCAAACACAACGTCTGGCATTGAATGTGTCGGGAAATTATTTGGAGTTTGTATTCAAGAAAAATATGACAACAAAATTGCATAAACTTTCCCTAATTATGTTTGAAGTGGAAAATCAGACACTATTTGATGGGACAACAGTGAAAAATGGTAATATCTCGAAGATGTCGCCCGATCTTAAAGCTAAACAACTGGGCGGCGGTTATTCATTTGAATGTCGACATAAGTATACGTTTCGGTTTAATGCAACCGAAACGGAGGAAATAAAAGTATCGATAATTGGGCTAAAATTTTCGGCCTTCAGAAAGAAAAATAACGGCGATTTTGATAAACGTTTGGTTCAGTGCGAACCACCCAAGACTGTCAAACCGGGCAGTGATACCGTTCCCATAGCTGTTGGCGGAGTACTTACCGGTTTTTTGGTCATCTCTTTGGTCGGATATTTGGTTATAAGGGCACGAAAAGCGTAGATATGGAGACTAGAAATTGTTTAAAATGCTTAATCAGATACATGTTTTTTTGTAATCAAAAAAAATTCAATTAAATAGTTAATTATTATTTGTTTTATTTGTAAGTTCAGTACTAAATATTTATAATAATAGTAGAAATTATTGACAATAATTTAATTATAAATGCTATAGCTGATTTTAAATTTTTAGCCTTTAGTATTTATTTTTTTTTTGCAATTTTAGTTTTTTCATTAATAGTTAAATAGTTAACTTTTAAAAGTTTTACGTTGGTTTTTGTACAAATAGTTAACGGTACAGCATAACTATTTAATTGGATAATTAAATATAAAGTTATACAATAAAAATAATTAAATTACGATTAAATGATAAAAAAAATTAAATAATTTAGTGCTTAATGCCAAATAAATCTTATTGTTTTATTAATATACTGTATATGTAATGAAATATCTTTCAGTAATCAAAAAAATAATTTACAAATTAATACTATAATACTTTTGTACCTTTTCATTGAATAAAGTTAACAAACATGTGATTGTATATTTTTAATTATTTTTTTAACTTACATGTATGTACTAATTTGTTAAAACATAAATTACTTTTATAAAAATATAATAATATTATAGTTTTAATTAAAAATGTTTAAAATTTTAGTAAATATTATTTCATTTATTTGTACAATGCTTATACATTAATATGACATTTTCAATAAATCTATTTTTTAATTAATTTTTTTAACTGACATAAATATCAAGATATTATTAATATCATTTATTTATTATTGTATAGTGTATTATATAAAGTATTAGTTTAATTTATTTAAAATATTATTGCATTTCACAGTTAAAGATGTAAAATATTTAAACTTTTATTATGTAATTAAAATAGTTTAAAGTTTTATTGGAAACTTGATTATAGTTTGCTTCAAATTTATACAATATAACAAACAATTCATTTAATTAATTAATATTTAATTTAATAGTATAATACAGTATTAAAAATTAATATAAGTTTAAAATATAAACTATAACATATTGATTAACTAATTTTTAAAACTATAATTAAACATTTAAATAGTTTAATATTGTTTGACTACAAAAAAAATTTAGATTACAATCTATTTTATAAAATGTAAATTTTCCTCAAAAATTCTTTCAAGTTTAATTAATATAGTTTTAATGTCAAACAATTTAAACTTAATTTTCCTAATGACTTTTAACAACGATTTCGCAATATTTAAAAAAACATTTAGTTAAAAACAAAACATTTTTTTCTGTATAGTAAAAATATCAATAATAATAAAAAGTAAAATTCGGTTTAAAATTATTATCAGATAATAATCAGATCAGATTTTATATAAATATATGATATATATATATTTCACAATAGATATAATATTTTTATAATTTATAGATTTTTTTACATTATATCAAACATTAGATAATTTTTTTTAAAAGATATTATATAATCTTAATCCCCACCAAACAACCAAAAAAATCTATTGAAATCAACAATCAATTTAGTAGTTATTCATTCAAATTAAATGAGATTCAAATATCTTTCTAATCTTTTCGATCTCTTTATCGGTAAGACCTCTATTTTTGGCCACTTCTTCGGCAGTCGGACAGCCTTTCGGTACGACTCTATACTCTCGATCGCAAACACCGCCCAAAAAGTCCGGTAAGTTTTGTTTGTCGACATAGTTTTCAATGTCGTCTTTGTTGGCAAACTTAATCAGTTTTCGTTGCTCTTCTGGTATCCAACTTTTGGCTATTTTCCAGACGGCATTCAAAATCCATGGCAACTCATAGACCAATATATAGGACAGACCTTTTGGATAGTATTTATTCATCGATGATATAAGAAACCATAGCATATCCATGTCTACATTGGATACGCCAGCATCCTTACAGTCAAACACAATGGCCATACCATTGCCGTTAACTTCGACATCGACTTTATTCATAGTATAGATCACAAACTGTTTGAGTGCTAAGTCTAGCTCCGGTATCTTGCGATGCAATTTTATGCGCATATAAATCATTCCGTTGCCATCCCTGTCCTTACAATAGGAGAATACTCCACCAATTTTGTAAAATTCTTGAGGAAAATCAGTTTCCTTAAGCACTGGTATTTGCAGTTCATGTCTCCAACGCATACAATTCTTGAGCATTTCCAGCGACGGTTCAATTTGTCTCTTATTTCTTAATAAAAATCTCTGGACATACCAATCATCTTCTTTAATCCGTTCGACATCGCCATCAAAGTATAGTTCTTTATTTTGTTCATAATCTTCGACAAACAGTTCCCTAATCTTACAAACAGATTCTTGAAGCTCTTCAGAGCTATCAATTGATGGCATTTTTTATTGTTTTAATATCCAATAATTAACTTCACTTTAATTAACTTAAAAAAACTGCTAATAATTTCAAGATATTTTAAAAATCACTTCAACTCACAATTGCACTTAATTTCACTTTCAAGTACTACTGTATAATACTATTCAAATGTGATCTCCAAAAAAATCAATCATATATTTTTAAAAAACATTATTTGTCTGTTTTAAAACTATATTAAGACAACTTATTTCAGTGATATAAACCAGAATAATATTTTCATATTTCATATTAGAGAAAGAGATAGAGATTAGAGTGAAACAAAAAAACTTATTATTTTTACGATAAAATAAACTTTTTAAAAGGAAAATTGTTGTTAATATTATTTTTTTATTAAAGTCATTGCAACAACAAAATATTATAGTTATTGTCGTAATTAAAGCATAGTTACTAATCAATGCATTTTTCTATACTGCAGTTAAATGAATGAATGAATGAATGAATAAACAATTTTAAATTGAATTGAATTGGCACTCAAGCGAACTAAACGTTATATTATTTTGTTTTTGTTTATTATTTTATTTTATTATTATAGTATATACGGTAAATATACAATATAATAGATATAATAATATCAAAATGTATTAGTATATACAGTATATATTAATATTTGAAAAAAGTGAAAGTTGTTGGACAACATTGTGTGCTAAAACTACAGGTATATAATATTAATAAAAAAAACTTTTAATAACTAGTTGTATTGGACCTAAAAAATTGAAGCCAAGGTTGCCAGATAAGAGAGAGAGCCGTATATGAAAATCAGTTCACAATTAATAGTATTATTATTACAATATTATTACTATTATCTTCAACACAAATGCCTGTCTATTCTATATATCTCTCACTCTCCTCCCGTTCCCCACACATATCATATACCTGTGCGCTGTTTTAAAAGTATTATGTAAGTCGAAGTAATGAACTTGGATTTGCAGTTTATTTTAAATACTAAACTTTCCCATAACCCTATCCAATAAGACATATACATTATCTATTCAATTATGCCATAAATTGTATGATAAGTGGTATGTGTGTGTGTGTGTGTGTGTGTGTCTATAAAATTTATATATAAAGTATATTTACCTATAAGTGCTTTGTTGTTTTGTATCAATTTATTTTTTAAGCGCAATTTTCCTTTTACAAATTTATTATTATTATTATTTGGTGCAAACTGTTATCTCATATAACATAACAAATCTTATTTTATAGCAAACATAAGTAAATAGTATTTTTTTATTTATTTATTGATACAATCATTAGCAATAATTTATTACTATATTCAGCTTTTAATTTCTTTTAATAATTATATTTAATTAATTAATTGATTGTTTATTTTAATGCATTGCTAATTACAGTATACTCTTTTTATATAAAATAAATGTTTATTTTAAGACCTAAATAATTAACGAATCATTTTAAAATTTAATTTATTATAACAATAAAAAATAAATAGAGTTTTAAAAGTTTAAAAATAATTATTTCCGATCAATGGTTACCTATTTGTTTAGTGAATGTGTAATTAAAAAACAAATCATTGAAATATTAATTGAAATGTTAACACATAGGAAATATAAATTAATTAATAAATTTAAAAAATTAATTGACAAAAATAATTTAATTATTTATTGTAAAATTATTATAATTGTTTTTGACTAAACTTAGCATAAAAAATATTAAACTCAAAGAGATAATTAAATAATTTTAAAAATTTATTTATATACTTATGTATACAATTATCAAAATATAACCGCAATATTTCATATTAAATCTGTAATACAATAATAATTTCATTTAAAAATAATATTTATATAATCTATAAATATTTATTTTCATCTATTAATAGTTATTTTTATTATTATTATTATTATTACTTTATTGCTATACAAAGTGGAAAATATTAAAATTGCAATTTTATTTATAATTAGATATATTAAATAATAAGTTATGTCTATATTTAGCAAAAATTATAATTATTATTTGATTAAATTATAATTTTTATTTATTAATTAAATTGAAATAAAAGAAATAAAATGTAATTATAAAAATAAATATAGATTTTAATATATTAAAAATATATATTTTAACATTATAAGATACAATAACAGTAAAAATAATAAATTTATAAAGGTCAATCATATTTATTATTATATTTTTATTTGTTTAGTTTAGTTTAGTTATTAAACTTAATTTTATGAAAATAAGTTTATTTTTTAATTATTTTTTGCTAAATAATGTCCAAAAATTGTTATTCAAAAATAATAATATAATAATAATAATGAATTAACTCATAGCCTCGATTCGTCAATAAAAAGTTCAAATTTTTATTAATAAATTATAATTATATTTTTATGCTAAATAAGTGAAAATTATGTTCATTTATTAATTTCAATAGTTAACAGTATTTGTAAAAAAACAAAATCTTTTTATTATAAATATTTATTATTATTATTTTTGTTTATTTTTAAATGAATTTCATTAAAAATATATCAAAACATTTTCAAAATGATGTCATCATAATTTGATTTGACATTTTGTTATACTGTATTATGTTTAAAATTATTAATATTTATTAATATTATATTTTATAAATAATAATAAATTTTCAATAGTTTTAATTTTAGTTTATAAATTTCAAACTAATAATAATTATAATATATTTATTGACTAATAAAATTTTACTAATTACTTCAATTTACATATAAACTTGTAATTATTTTTTAATAACATTTTAAAAGTTTATAATATAATAATAATACATAATAGTAAAACACTTTCAAAACATTATAGGAAAATTATTTCAAATATTTTGTGTAATTATTGAATATATATGAAGTTTAATGACATTAAATAAACTGTGATTAATAGATGAATAGATTTTTTAAATATCTTTAAATCAATTTTTAAACAAATTATATATTATAAATCCCTCCTTTTTAAAAAAAAAGTTTATCGTTTATAATCAAATCCATCAAAAAATAGTACTATAATAACTGAATCAATTAATTGTAATCATTGTCTTTGAAATGAATATAATTTTTGTTTTTTGAAAAATCAATTGACATAAACATAAAAATAAACAAAAATCAGGACAAAAATCTTATATAAAATTTATTAACTAAGCGTAGTATTAGTTTCAACATTTATGACCAAATACTGTCATTTATAATATGATGAAACAAAAAACTCATTTCAATTCAAATAAATTATTCAAAAAATTATTATTGTTATAAAATTCAAATAAGATATTTTTATTTGTTTTTTTGTTAATTAAAATTTTGTGAAATATGTTTAGTAAGTTTGATGGATATGGGTTTGTTATAATTTAATAACACATATATTGAAAAAAAGTTCACATAAATTAAACGTTTGTTAGCAACTAAAGCAAAAATCAATGGGTGGTATTTATCTTTATATTTTATACAATAGCTATTTTTTAGTCAAATATTAATAATAATTTAGCAAGCTTGTTTTTTTAATTAAAAAATTTAATTTCAATACAATTGAATACAATAAATAATACTACTACATGTTATTTATTAACTAAATTGACAAAATTAACTATTATTTAACTAAATTGTAGTGTTCAAAATTAATAATAATAATAATAATAATAATAATAATAATAATAATAATAATAATAATAATAATGAAAATATAAATTTAATGTAAATGAAAATTTTATGTAACATTTTTTATATATTAAAAATAAATTATATTTTAATGTATATAAAGCTTAATTTTGAATTAGTGTATTTATTTACAGTATTTTTTCAATGTAATTGCAAATTAAACCGAAACCCGTAAACATAGTTTCGGTTAATATTTCAGTTATTTTTTTCGGTTATTAATAATAAACCCGAAAACCACTGTTTGGTTATTATAATATTTTTTTTTGTACGTAATTTTTATACAATTATTGATATTATTTGTTTGTTTGGTTTGTTTATAGTGTTGTGCAATATATTTACAATATTTTTTTTTGACCAAATAATTACCGTTAATATAAAACTTTAGTTAACTATTATTAACTAATATTAACTATAATTTCTACTAATATTATTAGATATTTGCCGTTATCTGTAAGTAATTGTGATTTCAATGTTTTCATTAATAACTTATTTTCATATATTTTGAATTTTTAAAAAAAAAAACATATTTTTCATTACAGTAATTATTAATTTATCGCCGATTTTGTTGACCACTGGACTGATAATGACTGAGACACTGGAGACCACTTCGGCCACAAAGCCTTGTTGTCAGTCAAAGGCCAAGAAGTTGATGAAAATCAGTGAAGTAATGGATCACTTATTACCGTAAATCAAATGATGGCAATTGTCTTAAAAACTTATTTTTCTTTATCTGTTATCTACAAAACAGTTACCACTTTATGGCAATCCTTATCCAAGAGCTGAACGAGTGATTATTGATGAAGAATTGGGTTATATTGAAAGTGGTGTCCAACAAGTTAGACAACAATTGAATCCAGTTGTGGACACAATCACCAAATCAAGTGAAAGAGCTGTCGATATACTGAAAACATCTTACTATCACTCGTTATGTGAGATAATTATCATCGCATGAAATGAATGTCAACCAAACAATAGTTACTAAACGATTGACTATTAATTTTAAATTACAGCAACTTATGAATATATCAGCGCCGAAGGCAACACAGTGGCCAAAGCGGCCGCAATCACTACCGGCGGACTTCTGGGACTTTTGATATCGTCGCGCAGAGGCTTCTTCAAGAAAGTGTTTTATACTACCGCTGGTCTAACGGCTGCGTCGGCCGCTTGCTATCCGAAAGAGGCCAAAGAATTGTCACAAATTGGTCTGTTTATTGTCAAAACAAAAGGTCCCGAAATAGTCAAAGAATATACCGGTAAATGACACACAAGTATTGTATTCATCTTTAAAAATATTTAAATCAATCATATCATCTAAGGTGTCGACTTAAGCCAAAAGACGATGACGACGACAGCAGCGATATCGTCGAGTCCAACAAAATCAGAGTCAAAGAAGAGCATCGATTATGTGGGTCAAGAAGTGAGTGATGTTCAGTACTATGGATTTAGATTATCAGAATCGGTGAGATTTTGATGAACTGATCCACACTTTTAGCATTCAAAATAGTTACTGTAGTTATCATTTTATAAATAATTATTTATTTATCGGTAATTGTAATGGTTTTAGGATAACAAAAATAAATCACAATCTTCACCTCAAAGTGCCAATACAGGGGAAAAGGGGTCACCAGTTAAGGGAGATTACGGAATGGCACGCAAAGAGGATCAGGACTTATATGCAAACAGAAGCACAAAATGAAAAACAACATTTTAAGGCTTTTATTTTTAGTTTACCGTAATTTAAAATACATTGTTAACAATTAATAAATCTATAGTTATCTATAGTACACATCCTAACTAGTAATTAAAAAATAATAATAATAATAATAATAATACAATAGATGTTATGTTATGTTATTTCAATGAATAAATATGAGGTTTAATGAAATAATTAAAATAATAATTATATAAAACATTTGAAAATTGAAATTAAGTTTTCAACCATTTGGTCAAAATATACATTATTTTATGACTTAGAATTCGGAGCAAAAAAACAAACCAAATAAAAACAATTCTTCTTTTAAATAATGAGCTAATAATTGTTAAACATTTGATTTTTATGTCTCTAATGTCTATAACCATAAGTGGACGGATAATAGACAGATGAGGTCGGGGTATTGATGCGCTGATTGTTCGCATAGCGAACACTTGGTCTCGAAAGTGTTGAATTAAAACTTCGCGGACGAACACTATTACCATTCCTTCTCTGACTTCCGACGCTGTCAAATGAGGAACTTCTTCGACGAACTTTTTCTTTGTGTTTCTGGTCGTAGTAGCTGATGGCACATGTGATAGGAACCCATACTATCAGTGATAACACTAATACCACACCGACGATGTTGTCTTTCATGATGCGAACTGTTCCAATCAGAACAACCAGTTTTCATCAATAATAACATGTCATCACTTTTTTAAATGTATGGTAAACTTACAGAATGTGTTGATATCAATCTCTTCGATGACATCCCAAAAGCGTTCAACAAAGTCTTGAACAGCTCTCTCGCATCTTTGAGCCTCACAAACACCGTATTTACATGGCGTCCCATTGGGCAATGGATCTCTGGGCTCAACTGGAGCACATGTACCAGACAGGCTGCTAAAGTTACTGCCAATTGTAACGGCACGGCAACACCGAAAACAGGCATCTCTGGCCCCTTCACATAAACATGACGACTGTCCTTGAGCTGCACAAAATGACAGGCATTTTCCAGCTCTACACTGACCTCTGTCCATACACTTGGTGTTGTTGGGCATTGGAGATGGCTCTGGACAGTGGCTATCAAATAAAGTAACGGAAAAAAATGTTTTATAAACACAATCATCAAAATTAAATCAAAACCAATTGATAACTTACGGACTTTCTCCGTCACAATAGGACTCATTTTTACAGTTGAGTTCATCTTTTAGTTTGCAGACCTGACCGGAATGTTTGACCCGACAAGAAGCACAACAATCGGAGTTTTTGTCGCTACAATCGGAACCGGGAAGTAGACGACAGCGACTGTCACAACACAAACCAGTGGCGTAATCGTCGCCCTTAACCAGTAAACCTTCGTCGCATTCTTCGTCGTCTTCGACTTTGCTGTTACCGCAATATGATTTGTCAGGACCTTACAGTATAACATAATTAATAGTCATTAGTTTTAATAATTTTACCGATAATACTATTAATAAATATCATTTATGAATAAAAAAACAACTTACGAGAGAAACAACGATGAGATTTACCCACTAATACAGCACTAATAGACCGTTTACTACACGGCGAGAAAAACTACAAATAAAATAAACAAATATTAATAATAATAACTCATTGCCGGTAATTATCTGATAATATAACTAAAAATTTGAAAAACAATAATTAATACCCGATTATTCTCTTCATAACCGCTCACAGAATAGGTATACATAATATAAGAGCCGCCGTTTTCGGCGTTTGGCGAACACTCTTCAGTGTGCGGGTCGTGCTCTGAGCCCCAATTGTGGCCAAACTCGTGTGCCGTAACTAATACGGCTTCGCGAGTTATAATTCTGTGACCAAACGTGTTCCGGGTTGTTGTCAGTCCAGTGTTGAGATACAGTGAAATTCCGTTTGGATGTAACTGTGTATTACCGTAATAACTGGGACTACACATACCGCCCACCGAGTTTGTACGGGGCGAGGCTACGTAGGCCAGACCCAGTACCGAACCTTCAAACGATCGATGAGTGAACAGATGGGCCAAACAGAACTGACTGTTCTCTCTGTTCAAGGAGAAGGCTTCGAGCACATCCCGTACCGATCGTTTGCTTTGATCTGAATTATAGTGATCCCAATCAGGTGTCGGTTCCGTATGGATTTGGATTTCTTTGATGAAAAATCCCATTCCAGTGAATCCCATACCACTTTCGATGTCTGTCCATTCGGTTCCGTTGAATATTCTGTTCACTCTATCTATTATGTGTATCAAGTAATTGATTGTTGTCTTCGAGTTTGAGTCGCCCATCAATTGATAAAAGTAATGGTCGGCGACCAACACAATAGCGCAATGTGTGTGAGTCGGTGTGAATGTCTGTGCGTTTATTTCACCGGTAATTGCAATCTCATTGTAAAATGATTGGCGTTTTCTTCTAATCAGTTCTTCGGTAACCATTATGTTGTCATCGGTTACATTGTCGTCGATTTTAATATAATCACAGAATTTTCGCGACCCGTCCGTCGAATCGGAGGAATGTTTGACATCGGATCTCTTGTAGACAATCATCGATTCATCTCTATTCAAGTGATTTGGCAAATGTCTCCACAGAGGTTCTACTTCATAGGTTTCACTGTTGGTCTGTATGGTAGCTGTCATTATGCCGTTGCGGCCAATGTGTGCCCTAACATCCGAGTCCTTGACTCCGTTTACTTTTCCCGAATAAAATTCATTTAAGTCGACAAATAATGGCTTTTTGCGACCCTTGGCATCAATGGTAAAGGCATTAAACTGAGAACTAATCACATCTTTATTATGATTTAATAAAAGATTAAATTCTTTATTAATGGCACGAAATGATACCAAATGATTGACCGATTCTTTATGATTTTCATCAACAAAATCGGTATCTCTTTTGGCAATTTTATTATGTTTTATATCTATTGCATCAATAATTTCATAATAATCTAATTGAGGAATACTTTGGTAATCACCTGTAAATAAAAAAAATTAATTAATTTTTTTATAAATATATACATTATTTAATAAATAAAAATAAAACAATTGATAAAAAACATCACATTACTAAACAAATTGATTTTCACACAATTTTCAACAAAATTTATAAAATTAATTTCCAAGTTATTTAACATTTTTGCAATTTTTTTTATAAATACAGCATTTTATTAACATTTAAATATTATAAAAATCTTAACAAATAAATTTTACATATATAAATATATTTGAATTAATAAATAATAATCACTTGTAATACATATTAATATTAATTATTATAACCAAATAATTAATTATCAATTAATCATGTTACTTCACTTGAAAATTAATATATATATCATATATGATATGTAATATAACATAAAGTAATAATTTATTAAAAATAAATAAAACAATTTGATAAATGTATCAGGTTACTTTTTATGCTAATCAATTCAATTCAACATAATTTATATATCATATCATATATCATATAAGTAAACTAATTATAAAAATATTTAAACTATTCAATAATATATATCATACATATTGCTTATTATTATTAGTAGTAGTTATATGATACCATAATTCAGTTTTAATTATCATATATAAAACATATATCATGTTATCAATTTATATTTTTATCAATTGTTTATTTTTTTAATTTTTAAAAAATTAACATAATTAAATAACTATTAAAGGCGCATCATCAATTTTCACATATATGACGACAATATTACGTTATGTCAACCCCACAAACGTGGGCCACACCTCCTAATAATTTTTATTTTTTTATATGACAAACATTTTGTATATATATATATTTCGGAACTTTTGACAAGTTTTTATAATTAACTAAATTAATAGTAATTTTTTGGTTTTGTTTTATAAAATTTTTTTTTTTTTGACTTACATTTGATAACAATTGAGACGATGGACACTAAATATATGAAAAATAATATGACATTTGTTGAACACTTTTGATTGACAAACATATTTGTTATTATTATTATTATTATCGTTGTTAACCATTAATTAAAAATAATATTAGATTATTATTATGTCATTTGGCCGACAATTTATTATATTTAAATTTGAACTAATCGTTATATAAATATTTCACACATAAACTAGTATTATATAAACATATCATAGTTTTGTTTTTAATTAAAATGTTGTAATTAAATTTGAGATCACAATTGATTGATTGATTGTAATAATAATATTATTAATAATGTAATTAATAATTAAAACAAATGCAATGCATTGGCAACACATTGGGTCACAACAACAACAAAACAATTTTCTACATTTGATTTTTAAAAAAAACAATACTTTCAATAATATCAAAATTGACTAATTAAGCAAATAATAAGTACTGTATTATATTAGGTATAAATAAATTAATTAATTTTTTAAAAAAAACTAAATTTTTATACTAAAAACAAATTAATTGTAACACAATTCATGGTTTACTACTACTAATATATTATTATAAGAATAAATAAATTTTACTTTTATTTGTATACAGACAGTGTGTTTATAAAAAAAATAAATAATAATAATAATAATAACTTTTTTTGAAGCACTTGTACTACAGTACTATTAATACTGTACTGCAATGCAACAAAACATGTGCACACAAACTATTGAGACAACATTTTTTATTATATAACAAATACACTAATAATGTATTAGTATTTCATTATATTATATATAAAAAATTTCTCAGTCAGTGTCACATAACTTATGTGTGTATATATTTGTAGCACAACTTTCCTATTATAAAACTGTTTGGTATTTTACTACTACAGCACTACTACTACTACGAGGGATGGCATTGTTTTGCACCCGATATTTATTGTATGACTGACTACTCATACCGTATGAATGATATGACAGGTATTACAATATAAATAATATAATGTAAGAGAGAAACGCCTTGAAATATACTGTATGTGTGAATGCAGTGAATGATCTCATAATAGTTATGTATAAAAACACTGTATAGTACTGTATATACCGTAAATTATACTGAAATAAATCTGTTTAATCATTGATCGCTTCATTTGGTTTATTAAATCAATTTGATTGTCGCAATAATTGTATTGAAAATCCAAAAATAGTTATACAATATATATATATATCATATTAAATAAACACATTAGTAATGTTAATCAATAATTTTATTATTAGTCATTGCTATTACACACACACATACAGTTTGATGACAAAAATAAATGCAATAAATACCGGTAGTTTAAGTTAGATAAAAAAAAATTTTTGTATAACAGTTAAATTAATTATATTAGGAAATTATTTTTATAAAACAAATTTTTATTTTCTCTAATTTTCATTTGAATAAAATAAAGATTCAATCAATAAATAAAGCAAACAAATAAATAAAAACATTAATTGAATGCATTTTACATGTATTTGATTATTATTATTACATTTTTGAAAAAAATTGAATTTCAAATTTAGCGCCCAATTGATAGCCGCTTATCATATGAATGAATGGCAAATGTGTAGCAGTTTTTGGGAATTAAATAAATAAATAAAAAACTAATAAATTATTTACAAATAAAAAATAGATTTATTTATTTACACATATTTTTTAATTATTTACATTATTTTTATTGTTTATATAATTAATTTAATTAAACTACAAGTGCTTAACCATATGACCGCATGGCCAACATCACCGCCGCCGACGACGACAACAATGTGGACAATAACACGGCCGACAATAACAGGACCGATACAGACAACAACTTAGGCATCCTTTCGTCGGTTATCTACATCTGTATCATAGTTATGGTCGGTTTTCCGCTTTGGTGGACAACCACTTCGCCGTCCAGACACTCACTTCCCGACGTAAGTGCACTGATGGTCAGCTCGCAAACGATTAGACACCAGTTACAGGTGACTGTTGTGGCCGTCGATAATGACATCGATAGGCAAGAATTGAAGTCACAATTGGTCGGCAATTGGCCGCAAAAATTCAGTCCCGACGGCAGTTGTTCCTATGGTTACGAGTGGAAAGTACGGGCACTTTTGCCGAAAGAAGAACTGTTTTTTAATAATAGCGGTTCCCAGAGAAGACCTCTCAGTGATATTGACGACAAGTTGACCGCAATTAAAGATCACGAAACAGTCGGCAAACTTTGGTTATTCGTATTGCCGTCGAATACGAAACTAATTTCTGGTCAACAAAGACATGTCTTCGGAAAGAATCGATTCTTTTATCTACGAAATGATCCCAAAGTTTTTGATGAAAAATCTTTAGCTGAAATTATCAATGAATTGGTTGAATCCACACAAATATTAACTGAAAAGGCATATAACTCTCAGAGAATTGATTTCTTATTGTATCCGGAAATCGATATCATTGTTAATGTAGTCAATGAAGATGAAACCAACAATGAATTACTTAAGAAAAGAGTCGATGAGATACATAGTATTGGTGACATCGGACTGACTAAACAGAGTGGTATTTCAGAGTTGATCCGATTTAATATTATAACACAGACATTGCATTATGTGTTTAAAGATAATTTTATATCTACTCATCTGAATAATGCTAATAATAATAATGACAGCCGATTGACAATCGGAGGAACCGATAGGCTATTCGATGTCAAGAATGTACCGATTCTTATGAATACAGTTGAGTCGCGAGTTGTCGAACATAATAATAAGCAAAGCTTTCATATATTGGTTTATATTCCATCAGATGGTCCACTCTTTTTCTATGATATCACTCACGAGACTAAATCCAATATAATGGTTACACCGTTCAGAGGCGGTGTCATTGTGTGGAATAAAGACAATGATTTTGTTAACGGTTTCAGAGCTGTTATTCGCAATCTGATAGCACTTCCAAATGAAATACCGAAAAACTTGATTACCAATGAATTATTTTTCGCAAAATGGGAATTGGATGCCATTCGACGGTCAATAACCCAGAAGAGAATACTGAAGACATTGGCATCACTTGAGTCGATATCGAAATTGATTCATAAAGTCAATAATATTGTTATAATCCAAGAGATAGCCAAACGAATGCATACGGCAGTCGATGTTTCCATCGAAGCCATTAATTGTCTCCACGAAACAGATCTCAAGAATGCCTATAAATTGAGTACAAAAGGTTATCTGTCATCGGAAACGGCATTCTTTGATCCATCGCTTTTGTCATTACTTTACTTTCCCGACGACCAGAAATATGCCGTCTATTTTCCACTGTTCTTACCGGTCAGTCTTCCGGTCTTTTCGTCCCTTTATTATCTCTACAAGACTTATAAGACTAGAATGAGATGAGTCTTGATTTTTAGGCGAATTATTAATTAATTAATTAATATTTTTAATGATTATTATTATTATATACACTAAACCCATAGAATTTATATATTTATTGTAAAATATTTGTTTTTATATTTTTTCCGCAATTAAAACGTTTTATTTATTTATTTAATCTATATTTTTATTATTATAATTTAGACTAAAATAAAATTGAAGACACTTTACAACTAAATTTAACTCTAATTAATTAATTTTTGTAATGAAACAACAAAACCAATAATTTGAAAACAATTATATCTGGATAGAGATGACCACCAAATGATAGCCCCATCACTTGCTCATCAGGAACTCCTGCCACTGTTCCTTCTCTTTCTTTTCTTTTAAAATCTCTCTAATATACGGCTCAAGAAATCGGCCTTTGGTTTCATCCTAAGACAAACATAAAACACCATTAGTTAATAATCCAATCAACTGAATGATCAATAATCAAGAAATCAATCACTAATCAAGTGAGTGATCTCTCTCTCTTTCTGTCTCTTACCTCTTCAAAAGTGGGTCTTTCATTCAGTGGAACCGCTGCTTTGGTTATCTCCAACTGTTGGCTACGAATGTTTCGATAGACATACTGGTCGTACTCATCGGGCGGCAGTCGACGCAAAGCTTCGTCATAGAGTGGTTCGTCAGATGGATGAAAGGTATAGACACCCAAACACAAGAAGTCGTTTTGGTAGAGACCTAATAATTATAATAATTATTATTATCGGATCGGATCAGATCAGGTGATAAACAAACAAAACAAAAATTAGTTCAATTCAAGTGTCCATTCAATTCAATTTCTAACCGAATTTATTATATCCCTGAAGATTGTAATACCACTTACGGAACGGCTTGTGTTTGATCCCTGTTTGTTATAACAGACAAATAAAAAGTTTATCTAATTTTAAGATCATATCTTACATTGTCTGAGAACACCAGTGACCCGAACCATGTCTTGATTGATGACTATTTGATTGTTTGTTTTTTGCCACAAGAAGTATCAAATCAAACACCAATTCAAAGATTTTTTTACAAATGACACCAAAATGTCTGCAAAAAAACAACAATTGTTTTCTCAATACAAACCCCAATATTTCAGATGTTTTTTTGGTACTTTTTATGACAATATAAGTACTATGTATTCATATGTTGTAAAAAGTGCTAAATTGTTTGTCAACTATTTTGGTGGTACTTTCAGCAATGCTGTGACAATCAGTGATGACTTATAATAATTAAGAATTTTTAAAAAATGTAAATTTATATTAAATTCTTATTTTTTCTATTATTTATATTTCAAATAAAATGCTATAAAAATTCAATTCAATTTACATTTAACTTTATTACCAAATGTTAAAACAAAATATTTTGTATTAAACTTTATCTTAAATTATTATTGAAGTGATAACTCAAGAGGTTTTACAGTTAATTTCTTATGAAATATTTTAATGTTTTAATTATTATAGATTTGATTAAATCGGTTATGAGTTTAGAATTTAAATTTGAAAATCTCGTGAAAACTAAAATAAATTTTAGTTATAATTCGCGTAATTTTAATCTCAAAAACATTGTTATAAAATCGTGACAACAATTAATAGTAAGTATTTTAACAAATAATTCAAAATTATAGCCAAAAGAGATAATCGTTATTAAAGACCAACTAATAACTGAAAAACATTTTATTAAGAGATTATCATTTAAATCATAAATTAGTGGTCAAACAAAAGAAATGGGCGAAACATATCTGAAACAATGCATATCAAGGCCTGAATCTGAAGACGGAAAGGGACCCAACATATCATACGGCGCCTCATCAGTACAGGGCTGGCGATCCACTCAAGAGGACGCACACATATGTTTGCCAAAGTTTGACAAAAACGCCAGTCTGTGGGCTGTTTTCGACGGACATAATGGCGCAGAAGTGGCACAATTGGCGTCAAAACTCTTACCGAATATGATATTAAAGAATAAGAACTACAAAGAAGGCAAATACGAAACGGCACTTCAGGACTCATTCATGCAATTTGATGACCAACTTCTCGAATTGGAAACCGTCAACAAAATGATATCAATACGCAAACAGTACACACAAGTGCCCATCGACCGAAAAAATGCACCGGCAGTGGCCAGTGGTTGTACGGCTATTGTTGTACTTATAAAAGATGGCATCGCATATGCGGCCAATTTAGGAGATTGTCGGTGTATTCTATCACGAAAAGGCAGAGCATATCCATTGTCCAGTGACCACAAACCGGAAAATACTGACGAAAAAAGTCGCATTAAGAACGCCGGCGGACAAATCATTTGCGGTCGCATTAATGGCGGTGTAAACGTTTCGCGCGCTTTTGGTGACCATCACTACAAAGGTAACACTGAACTGCCAAAGAAGGAACAGATGATCATTGCTTTGCCCGACATAAAGACAGAACAGTTGACATCAAACGACAACTTTATGGTACTCATATGCGATGGCATCTGGAATACCATTTCTGTTGAGGAAGTTGTTCTATATGTCAACAAACGAATACCAAGAGTTGCTGTTTTGTCCAAAATATGCGAAGAAGTATTCAAACAGATATTGCCGACAACTATGCCTACCCATGGAATCGCCGGTAAAGACAACATGACGTTTCTGATCGTCAAATTTGAACCGAATCTGATTAATACAAATCAAGTACAGAAGCCAAACACTACCACCAATACGGCCATCAAGAGAACCAATAGCAAAGATTCAGTAGTATCTGTACAACCGGGTGGTCAGACAAGAGTCTGTCTAAACGTACTCAAAGATGATGGTACGGTTGTGCCATTGGCTAATCCAGATAACTTTGCAAAAGTTGAGATCAATATTACACTGACAAATGTAGAAGAATCAGAACCAGTAGAAGACATACCTGAAGATTCTAACCAAAGAGTTAAGAAATATCGGCAGACGAAAGATGAGGAAAAAGAAAAAAAAAGGAAAGCAAAACATTAGACACATTTTCAAGGATCACAATATCAAGGCTACCAAAGTATCTCTACTGTATATAAACTGTACAATCGATTGGCACTAACATCTTCAATATATAGCATTAATACACAAATTCAATATCAATTAATCAGATTTCCTTGATATGTTTAAAAAAGAAAAAATAAATATTAATAAATAGATAACTATTGTAATATTCATTGATTATTAACTAATAATTGAAAATTTATTAACGTTTAATTAATACTGCATTTGTCTTTATATTATTATTATATTGTATTATATATACCGTATATATATATATATAGTTATTATTTGTCAAGAATTTATGCAATTTTTTATAATAATATAAGCAGATTATTAGACAACATTTCAATATAAAACAAGTATGAATACCAATATATATACATTTCATAATACATTGATTTTTGGTATTTTATTTTTAATGTTTATCATTATGCAGTAAATCTAATAAAATCAATACTTTTTAAAAAGTATGACTAAATATTATATAAGTACAGAATATTTAAAATAACAAATAAATTAATGAACATTTTATTAAATAACAATATCCGATAATAATCAATATTCTAACATTTCTATATATAATGATAATAATAGTAATAATTATCATTATAACCAATTCATAACAATTTTAATAAAATATTCAATAGACTATACATAATTATATGTTGATAATTTTGTTTCAAGGTATAACATTTTTAAAAATAAATTTTTCAAACCATTGTAATATTACTAATACAAAGATTCAGAAATAATCAAATAATGTAATATTAAATTAATACATAGCAAATAAACAATTGATATTATAAGTTGAATGAACAAATTATACGATTTACTTATAAAATATATATATAAATATAATGATATAAATAGTAATTTTTTAATATTGTGTTCAATAAAAGTTCATTATACCGTATTATTCTATAATTATAATAATCAGTGATTATAATTAAGAAATTTATTTATTTATTTTTTAATTTAATTATTTAGAAAATATGAAGAGTTCAGTTATATAATAAAACCATCTGATATTATTTTAATACTATCATTTTTATACTGTAATGTTTTATACAGTATAATATTACACAATCAACTAATATGATCAACATATATGATAACAATCAACTAACAAAAAACATTTGGCAAAGTGTTCAAACAAAACATATAAAAAGTATTTAAAAAAAACTTTAAATAAACTCAACATTTTTCATGTTTTACAAAAATAGTATTTCCAAGAGTTCACTATATTATTATTAGTTTTTTGTTCAATTATTTATAAAGATATATATATATAAAGAGTTGCAATAATAATAATAATAAATTCATATGTTTTATCTTAACATTCAAAAACACTGCTGACTTAAAAGTATTTATATAAATTGTATTTCGAGGCCAACTCTTTTCACTTATTTTTATATTTATCACTATATATATCAAATTATAAATTATAAAATGTATATATAGTTAGTTATTAGTTATTATTTTACAACAAAATCACTGAAAATATATTTTCAAATCAATTACTTGTGTCATAAATTATATTACAGTAATTGTACATTGGTTGCTAATTTCTAATATTGCTAGTATATATTGTATTTTATTTTTACCATTATCGTTTAGTTTTGTGGCTATTTTTTTGTCATTGTTTGTATATTTTTATATATTTTTTTTATAAACCTATCTTTTTTATTCAAGCAAACATACCATAACTAATGGTAAGCATATCTTTCTTTTTTCAATTTGCTTAATGATTTAGTACAAAAAATTGTTTGTTAAAATAATGTTGCTTATTATTATTATTATTATTATTATTATTACTGTAAATGTAGAGTGAAATAAAAAAATAGTATTATACAAAAATCATTAAATTAACCAGAGTCACTCCCATTATTATTATTATCAATATTCTATATAAAGTAGTATTATAAGCTCAATAATAATTTATATAATCTATAGTACAGTATATTTATTTAATACAGATGTATAAGTGTTTATTTATTTGCCAATAAATGATAATAAAAAATTATTTTTTTTGTGAATTTATCAATATAAAAAAATATGTTTATTGTAATGTTTATACTACTAGTCAAGTCTATTTATATTTAAAATGTTTGCAATATTTTTTCAAACAAAAAAATCATCAAAATAAGCTCAGTGTATATACAGCTCAAATATTCAAAAAATGATTAGACATACAGTATAGAGAGAGATATTAATACATATTGTATTAAGAGATCTAATTTATTTATATATTAAAAAAGGCTATAAATAAAAAAAAGTGTGTTCATGTATGGTTAAATTGACATAGATTTGAGTACACTATATATGTTTAATATAATTTATATATTATTATTATTATTATTAATAATAATAAAAATTAATAAGGAATTCACTTTTAAATTACTTAAATATTTACAAAAATAAACAAAAAGTATGTGCAATATATATAATTTATATTAATTCAGATAACAATATTTTATATTATATTATATTCATAGCAATATATAAGTTTATTAATCGTTTTAATAGTTGTATAAATCATTAAATATTTATATTTCGCAGAAAAACAATTAAAACCTTCAATTAATTCGCACAAAATGTAAGCAAATACTACAGAAAAAGATGTGCGATATATATATATAACTATTAAATGACTGAAAATTTTTGCTGATTTTTTTCACTCAAATAATTAATACATAAAATATAATAATATATAAGTATTTAGAATATTAATTGAATGAATGACATTCATTATAATGAGGTAACCGTTATATAGTGGTAGTAGTAGTCGATAACATAAAAAATAAATATTAAAATCACACATCAATATATATATAAATATATATATATCCTTAAAAAACATGTTGATTGCAAAATCATAACGAAATTTACAACAACAAAATCATATACTATATTGAATTTTTTTAAACACTTAGATTACATGAGTGACCTCTGTTTGACTGCTGGCCGACGTTAGCTGACACGTGCCGATAGAGTTTGAACGCAACTCATTGAGTGATGGACTTCCCGATTGTTGTCCGGGACTGTTGAGCACTTCATTAAGTGTGTTGACCATAAAACTGTGGCCATCGGAGATCGAGTCCTTATGCTCTCTCCTAAGGGCTCGTATTGCTGATAGAGCTACCGCTGCCTGTAATATATATATATGATTTTTAAAAATAAATTTAAGTATTTTAGTGTACATGTATTGAATATATATTATTAACAGTTTTTCTAACTCCTTCTCTATTACAGTCAATTGAAACAAAAATATTTATTACGAAACAAAAATTTTAAGTATTGTAATAATAATAACACAATTAACAATTTAAGAGTACACAATAAATTTACTATTGTATAATGGGTGTAAATTTATTAACACTACCGTAAAATTAAAAATAAAAAAATCAGTTGATTGAAATAAAAAACATTAGAGTATAATATAAAGTTAGATAATTTTATAGTAACACTTTTAATTATAAAAAAGATAAATAAATTTACCAGTACAAATTTACAATATAATTGTAAACACATTATATATTAAAAAGTTTTTTCATCAATAAACTATAGATAATATATATATAAATTTATATATACAGTTAAAATTTAATAATCTTAATAATAAAGTGCTATCTAATTAAAATGGTATATAATATTGAAGAGAAAAAATAACAGTTGACTCAACAAAATACAGTATAAAGTCAATACTGTAGGTTTGATTAGATTAAATATATATATATATATATATATATATATATATAGTATATATACTGTACTTATGTGTATAGATATGGTAGGTGACAACACAACATACCTGATCACTCCATGGCTGTCCATATTTCCATTGAGTCAAATAGTGTTCGCAATTTCGGGTCAATAAATTATAGTCGACTGTTGAGCCAACCTATCATTAATTGAGAATTAAAGCAATAATATATTAGATATTGTATACGCAATTCATTTTTATTATCAACTAATTTAATAATATATCATATCATATATTATTACTGCTATAATACAATTGTTTTTATGTAATAAAACATAAAACTCTTATATATATTAACTCAAACACTGATTAGATAAGAAAAGTCGACTACTTATACAATACAATGCAATTCAATTGCAAGTCATGTCAATTGTTTTATAAATACCATTATTATAAAACCCTATCAATACTAATACCTGTACTAAAAAATCTATTAAATTAATAGATTTATTGGAAAACAACACCAAAAAAAGTAAACCAATTGATAATTATTATTACTAACCATAGCATTGGCTTCTTTGACCACTAAGTCGGCGGGTAAGGGCTGAAGACAGCGCTCTTTGACCGGAACCTCCTTATTGTTAACCCGACAATAGTTATCGCCGGCAACATCGGTCAACAGTGACCTACGGACAATAGCTTCTTCATTGTCTGGTAAATCGTTGTCGTCATCGCCGACCACATCGACCACTTGTCCATCGCCCACATAGATAGCCCAATGGGTATATAGCATGCGATCAATCTCTATGATATCGGCCAACTCGGGCGTCAATTCAGAGGCCAACCTATACGAACCCAATTGGAGCCGCAATTGATTAATATTATGATTATTACTATTATTATTATTATTATCTGAAGACATCGTTAGCAGCACTTCCACAGAATAATAGTTGCATTCATTCATATAAATTAGTGAATAAATAATCAGTGATTCATAAAAACTTTTAGTTTTGTTTTTCTCACTCTCTCTTTCTCTCTCTCTATATATATATATATATATATATATATATTTGACACCAAAAAAAATTACAGATAATTTCGATTAACTGTTTTGTAAATATTAATTGTAATTATTATTATTATTTTGTGATTGAATTAAATAACAGAAAACTGTTTATATTTCTCTATCTCTATATAACAAACAAATCTATCTCTCAATAATAGTCAGTCAATAATAATAATGAGAGACAAACACCAAAAAGTACTGCAAAAAAATGTTGTGCAAAGCAATAATGCCCAGACATATGCATATAATCTGGACTATCATTGGCTACAATACAACACATAAGACACTCCCCGATCCAACACAAGGTCTTACATCAAAACATTATATTGTGTTATGCAATACATACTACAAACACACTAAACGATAGCAACAAAACACTACTCAATTCAATCTTAATGTTAATCTCTCTCTCTCTCTCTCTCTCTCTCTCTCTCTCTCTCTCTCTCTCTCCTCTAAATCATTTACTCCATTCACTCACTTACCCAGACATCACTTGATGACTGGATGTCTAATATATACTGTATATTGAAAAGTAATATAACTTTAGCTAAAAAATAAATAAATAAATATCACATGCATACCAACTTTATTTTTAATTTTTTTTATTTATTTCTAAAAGCATTACAAAAAACTAACAAATCATTAAAATATTTTTATTACTTCTGTATTATTGAATAAACTAATAAACTAATGAATGAATGAATTTTATTTTGATTAATCGCATGCATATTATTATTAATAATGATATTACTGTACTAATGATACAGTGATTAATAATTATATAATATCATTGATTAGTATTATATTATCTGCAAATAGTAGTTAACTTATAATTTATAACATATGATTGTGTTTATATACATTATAATACAACTTATGTAAAGTAATTTTAATCAAATCAAATTGAAATGCTCTGTCGATTCATTTTTTGATAACCAATGAAAAACTTTTTTTTATTTAATAAATTCAATTTATAGTCAATTATTTGATTATTATTATTATGGGATATACCATGTCATCAAATTAACAGCTGATTTATATAAATATTTTTTTAATAAGTACAGTATTTGCTATCTATTAAGTTATTAACTTATAAGTTATAACTTTTAAAAAATCTACAATTCAATTAATTTCCAGATTTGTATGATTTTAGTTAAATAATAATAATTTATTATTATTATTATTATAGTCATCATATATTTCTATAGACTCATACTTTTTTATTTGTATGACAATTATTGTATATATAATTTACTCATTCAATGAACATCATTGAAATATCAATGCTATTTCCGATTTGCTATTTTGAAAATAAAAACTGCTATTTATTGGTATAAATAATCAATCATTGAATTGAATAAACAAAATATAACATCAATTAAACTCATGATTTGCTAAGTTTGCTAAAAAATTGTTTATAAAAATACTAAAGCAAACAATAAAACTATTAAAAAAAAGTTTAGGGTTTGCCTCTCAAGCATAGCATTGAACACTACAATGTACTGTACATTACTGTACATTATTATTGCTAATTATAATTAATTGTTTGACTCATTGTGTGTGTGTTATAAAAATATAGGGGTCATTGGGGGCACATATTTTGGACGTCATTATTGGGTGTATCCAATAGGCCTTAACAGCATAGAGTAGTGAACAATGCGGTATGAATGGATTGGGTAACGGGATTACAATAATTGTGGGAATTAAAATAACAATTATTTAATATTATAATTTTTAGTCATTTAAATAAGATAAATATTAAATTTCTTAAAATTATTAAAGTTAACAAAATGCATGATATTTATTTGTAATAATAATAATAATTTACATTTAGTCGTAAGGTTATAAAAAAAATATCGGTTTAGGATTGGTATATAGTAGTGAACATCTATTTTGTGAACACACGTCTAGTGTTAGAGTGCATTGTCTATGACTGGTCGGCAACTCAATAGATTGAGTGACACAACACACACACACTTAAGCATTGAATTGAATACTATTTTTGTGTTTTTTATTGTAAGTAAAAATAAATTTAAGTTTCGATTAAAGTGACAATTAATTTAAATGTGAGTATATTTTTGAATACAATATGTGTATAATATTTGGTTACTTTTTTTTTGAATGTCAAATGCATTGAAAAATTAATGTTTTATTTAACTAACAATTGTATTGACAATCGATTGAATAAATTTTAAAAGTGTTTTATAAATATATTGTGTGAATGAGTGATACATTGAATACAGTGTCGCCATTACTATACACTTACAGTGCATTGAATTTGAAAATCACTGAATATTTTTATTATATGATATTAACTTAAAATATATTTTTATTGCTTTTTTTTAAAAAAAATAAATAATTGTTTTTAAATTATTTGCTTTACATTTGACACCAAATATTTGTATTTCAATTTTTTATGAGATATCATATAATTTTTTGTTTTATTTAAACATTTAATGTATTAACAGTCTGTTTGAGAGTTTTTTGTCGCGACATATAAACAATGGGTGACAGCGATGACGACTTTCCCGATCGGCGCGGAAGTGGTAGAGATAAGTTCAGACGCGAGAGAAGCGACTACAACGACCGGAACTCATCAAACAATAGGACCCGAGAGGATTGGACCGATCGGTAAGCAAACACACACCCGAGTGGCCGCTTAGAGATAACCTTCTGATTGTATTCGTTTGTGTCGAGTAGTCGCGAGAGTGGCGGTGCCGGCGGAGGCGGTTCGTGGGGTAACCAGAATAGAGACCGTAATAATCAACGGCGCGATAACTATCGCGACAACTACTCGTTAGGTCAAACCGTTAATCAGCGTCGCGACCGCTATAGTCCGGCCGATCGCAGCAACGATATGAGTCCACCGATGAAACGGATGAGAAGCGCTCGCGATTGGGAGGACAGGACTCCATATCCTAACTATGATATGGGCGCCGGCTATGGTGGTCATCACAACTCGACTAATTGGAGCCATACAGACAATAGTGGACCTAATCATCAAAATCAACACCGGTTTGTATATTATTTGAATATTATTTTAAATTTTGTTAAATTTTGAATTAAAATAATAAACAAAATATGAATTGTGGTGATAGTGAGGGCGATACCGGTCCCACTCAACCAGCTATGATGACATTCAAGCATTTCTTGGGCACTCAAGATGATGGCATTGATGACCAAATTGCTGTTAAGAAGTATAATGAATACAAATTGGATTTTAAGAAGAGACAAATACTTGAGTTTTTTAACGCTCATAAAGACGAGGAATGGTAAGGAATGGGAGGACCGATGTGTCACTCATTATATATATATATTTATATATTATTATTAATCATTCATTACTTATTATTGCATATAATTTATTAAATATTTTCTTCCAAAAAGGATAATAATATATAACCAAAAAGATATATATATTTTTTATTTTGTTGTCTAAAATACGTTATACAACAAATCATTTTTATATTAAATTGTTTGTTAAGAGAAAAAATATAATATATTGCTTACATATAAAAATGAACTAAATTTTTTTTGAGACAAAATACATAATTTTGTGATTAATATCTCGGAAAGATTTGATATATATATATATATATTAAAAAGTTGTTGTAATATTTGATATTATTATATTTTGTACGGAAAAATCGGTGATTCATTTTAATTGTTTGATTCAATTGATGATATATAACGCGAAATATATAAATTCTTTAAACTGTTAATCAAAAAATAACAAATATATATTATAAATAATTTGTTTAATCAATTTATACAATGATTATTGCAAACACATATTATGCTAAAAACAAAATACAGTATAATATTTCAAAGAGTAAATATATATAAATATTTGATTTTTATTTGATTTAATATTTAATTCACAAATAATATAATAATCTCTTCAAAACAAATGAATGCTTAAAAGTGTTTTCATAAATATATATATATATTATAAACAAAAGTTATTATATTTTACAAAACAAGTAAATTTCTTTTAAAATCGTTTTTTAATTTAGTGTTAATTATAACACAAATGTATTCAAATTTTTCGACTATAAATTAATCCCAATTGTTGGTTGAGGTGAGACTTAAATTCAGGAGATTTTATAATAAAATATAATCATTATTTGTATCAATTTTTTTTAATTAATCGATATTTAATTTTTATAAAGCTTTCACTTAATGGTTAATTATATTTTAAAATGTTTTTTATCTTAAATCTTATTATCGACTAATTATTAATAATTGTATGATTTTGTATAATTTGTTTGCAATGAACTGTTAGGTTTCGGAGCAAATATCATCCGGAAGAGTTTGAAAAGCGTAAACAAGAACAGTCTGCAGCACTCAAGAAACGATTGGATGTCTTCCTCGACTTATTGGCTAATAATTGGATCGATTCGGTCAGTATTGATGTCGAAAAGGCGAGTCAAATCATTCGGTTATTAGACGCGGCTGTTATTAAGCTCGAAGACGGAACCGATTTTGATCTGAAATCGTTGGACGAAAATTTTGATGAACCGAAATCTTCTGAACCTGATTTGTCATTGTTTGCGGTCGAAGTTGAAAAACCAGTTAAACCAGTGTCCGATAAAAGCGAGAAAGAAGCGGGAGAAGAGTCGGATAACGATGATGTCAATAATGATAATGAAAACGCCACCGACAATGAACCAAAAGAAGAGAAAGAAGTCACCGAAAAGGATAACGATATTGATATTAAACCAGAAGCTGGAGATTCAATGGCCAGTCTTGAAGAAGGAGAGGCATCGATGGATGCAACCAGTGATGTAAAGACAGAAGAAGATGTGGAATCTAAAGTAAAGACTGAAGATGAACAGGAAGACTTGACACCGAAAGCTAATAATAATACTAATAATAATAATAATAATAAAATGGATGACTCAGAAAAACCACGAGCTCTTCATAAAACTTTGTCAGTATTTATGCGTAATCTCGCGCCGTCTATATTAAGACAAGAGATAGAAGAGGTATTTCAAATGATTGGAAGTTTTTCTGTAAATATATTTAAAACTAAATTTGTATTTTAGTTGTGCGGTCGTTATCCCGGTTTCTTACGTCTTTGTATCGCTGATCCTACATCTGAGCGACGATTTTTCCGTAGAGGTTGGGCAGCATATGATCGATCGGTTAATATTCGTGAGATTTGTTGGTCATTGAATAGCATTAAAGTGAGTTATCGTTAATAAAAAATAATGATTTTTATTCATTATTTAACTAAATATATCTATTTTTATGAATAGTTGAGAGACACAGAACTCAATGTAATTGTAAATCGAGATTTGAATCGACGAATTCGTTCGGTTAATGGCATCGCTTCCCATAAGAATGTAGTTCGCGCTGATATAAGACACGCGGCAAAGATTGTCCTTAATTTAGATAAACAAAAGAAGCTCTGGGAAGACGAAACTAATGATAACAAAGAACTAACAGAATCTAAGCCTATGTTTGGATTTACATCGAAAAATCCTTTACTTAAGAATATAACTGATTATCTAATCGAAGAAGCGTCGGCTGAAGAGGAAGAACTTTTGGGCACATCAGAGATCGGTGAAGTCGAAGATGGAGAGGAAGGACAGAACAATGGTCCAGCACTTGATAGAGACGAGAATTTGATTAAAGTTTTGGATCGATTGCTGTTATATTTACGAATTGTTCATTCAGTCGACTATTACAATCATTCAGACTATCCCAATGAAGATGAAATGCCTAATAGAATAGGTATAATGCATGCCAGAGGAATGTCATCAACGGCCAGTCGAGTTACACAACAAGAGATCAATGAGTACACGAAAAACTTTGAGACAAAGATACAGCCATATCTTTTGCCGCCAACAGTTGTTACCGAAGAAGAAGCTCAAAAGTTAGGTCTTAAAGATACCGAAGTCGAGGCCGAAAATTTTATCAAAGCTAATATCCAAGAGATTTCTAAAGACAAATGGCTTTGTCCTCTCTCGGGAAAGAAGTTTAAAGGACCAGATTTTGTGCGAAAACATATTCTTAATAAACACAACGACAACATTGAAGAGGCAAAACAAATTGCTGTTTATTATAATAACTATGTATTTGATCCCAAGAGACCACAACTCCCTGAACATCCCAGTAATAGGCCTCAAACTAACACAAATCGTGGAGATGGTAATAGCATGGGAATGGGAGGTGCTATGTCTCATGGATATATGCCGCACGGTCCCGGCCCTTATCCGCCACTACCATATATGGCTCCTGGCTATGGCCCGAGAGGTCCTCCAATGATGGGTCCTATGATGGGTTATGGCAGAGGCTACCCACCGATGGGCGGTCCGATGCACGACGGATATGGCAGAGGACTTATGGGTCAACCGCAACAACAAAAGCCTAGATTTACGCGGTAAGTGTTTTTTAATGATTAGATTTAATTATTTTTATGCCTATATAATGGATTCTTATGGAACCCATTGATGAATGAAACTCTTATAGAAATATCGTTGCTTATGACGACATTGAAGATTATTAGACAAATTGACGACAAATAGACATTGTTTTCACACACACTCTTGTGTCGCAAACCGTTGGGTGGTTTCCCACTCTTTTTTCTTCTTCCCATTTCGTCTACAATTTTCTGCGATTATTTTGCATTGATTTTGGAAATAAGATTATAATTTAAAACTAATAATAATTGATATATTATTTAAATGTTTATAATTTTTTGAAAGCTTATGTTATTTATATATAAACTGAATTTACAGAAAGCGAATCAATTATCGAGATCTCGACGCTCCCAATGATGACAACACTGACTTCAACTAAGATTAAAAGATAACTTCTTCTAGCAATACATAATTGCTTTTCAAATCAAATCACTTGAATCGATGTCTCCTTTTATTTTGTTTCTCTCTGTCTATTATCAGTTGACTATTACCTAACGTTAAGAAAATAGTCGTTTATTGATATTATAATTATTATTTAATTTAGATACATATCTCATACTTACTAAAAAATGACATTAAATTAATTTGTTTTTTAATCATTTATTGTATTTTTTATACACTTATATTTTCAATTGTGAAAAACATTTATTATTATTATTATACAGTAATTATTGTTAATCTATTAGAACTTATTTTTTGTTTGTTTTAATTTCTTTTTTTGTTTGTTGTCGACGAATAACTTCATGTTTTTTTGTATACAAATTAGTCTTAAAAAATAACACTTTAATTATTGTTTGAATAAAATAATTGAAAATATCTTGAAATTTTAATGTTGTATTTCAATTGGCGACGACATCTTTAAGCGATTCCGGTAATTCAGACTTCGGGTGTTTGTTGACGAAGTGTTGTTTATAGGTTTTGGGGTCAGGCATCTGACTCTGCAATCGTGTCAATACATTATTATTATTATTATTATTATTATAAACAACCAATTATTATATAATATATATATATATATAACACACCACTGATTAAAAGTTACAATAAATCTTAGACTGAATCTACTTAATAATAATACTAATAATAAAAGCCATCAAAAATTTATTGTAACACCGGATCTAACCATCATATCAGTGGTGTGTATGTGTCTGTCTTCAGGCATACCTTGCAGACCGAGCACTGGAAGGTAAGCGCCGCCTGAGCCGCCTTTTTCTGGTCGTGACTCTCGGCCTTCTTTGCGTCCGCGGCTCGTTTGGCATTCTTTTGTTGCGATTGGATCTTTTGGTGTCCTCTGGCCATTGTCTTCACCGCACTATTGTCTTTATGATGGGTTTTGACACAACTGTTTCACTGTTTTGAGTCACACTTTGCAAAGCAAACAACACATTAACGACAATCAGGATATACTATACTATACTATACTATACTATACAATGAACTCTCATTACTCGCTCTATTAGATTACAACATAACTATAAAGTGTTAGCACTACTAAAGCTACACATTGTTTAGTAATATACAGTACATCCAAAGTATAGCATACAGTTTATGGGATATTAGTATTAGTACTCATTAATCAATAGAAAGGATATATTCTGATACAACGTTACTATAAATAACAACAAATAAATCATAAAACTTAACCATTTGTTGCTATAAATTTAGTTTTATATACTAATTAAAGTCTAATAAAGACTATTAATTATTAGTAATTAATAAATATGAATAATAATTATTATAAGCAATAAATATTTTAATTATGCTCTGACTTATAAAAAGATACCATTTTTTTCTATTAAATATTTTTGAAGTTATATTCTAAATATACAGAAAAAAATTTTAGTAATCAATATATGGAGTATTATAATGTATTATAATATTTATATCAAATAATTTAATGTGTGTTTAATTAGTTTTAAAAATCAATATTTATTTTTTACAATCTATTTATGGGATAAAGAAATTTTACAAGAATTTAATAATTCATTTTTAAAAACATAATTTTTCAGATAATTCGCGGAAAATAAACAAAATAATTGATAATTTAATAATAGATTCAATAAAATCAATAATACCAAGGATTTCACAAGTTTTTTGGTTTAGGGGATAATGGAGGGGAGGAGGGGGGGGGTAAGCTGACAAAAATTTTGGTGATGGGATACTGGGTGGGTGTCAGCTTTTATTGCATTTTAAGCTATAATTTTTTCTAATTTCCGAAAAAATCTTCTAAATCTTGGTCTCTGGGGGGGGGGGTAGGCCGGCCTAACCCCAAATTGCAACCCTGCAATGTATTGTACTGTATATTTATCGATAAGTTTATATCTACTAAATATTACTGTATAAATAATTGTTTAAATTATTTATAATAATAAATAAGATTTCTAATAATGTAATTATTTCTAATAATAAATTATATTTCACTCAAAATCTAAACTATGATATTATTATATTGAACTTCAAACTAATGCAAACTTTACAACAAAAATAGACACAAATAAAACTATAAGTTTTTGTAAACTATTAAAAACAAACTGATATTAATTTATAATAAAAAAACAAATACGTGTTTTAATATGGCCAATAACTATTGATCCAGTGGGCGCCCACCTACTACTGGGCCCAACATTTTTGAATAAATCGTACAGTTATTACAGTGCTATATGAGTATGTATGGTATGTGTGGCACACATAGGATTGCATAATGTGTTCACATGTTTGCAAATTTCAATAGTCATTGAATCATATGATGATTGCATAGCAATACAGTATTAATATTATACAGTAGTAGTCAACGCATTGCCTAAATGGCTACAATCTGTCGCATTCACGATAATCACATTTTTATTATTGACTGTTATATACATTGTATATAATATATGACTGACTTGAGTGGCGGAACCAATTGCAGTGATGTTTTGTTTAGACGACTAATCATTGGAAAAAAATCTCTTGTGATTATAATTCGCTCTGATTTTTACATATATTTTCGCAAAATATTATATTGAAGTTATTATCACAACATTTGATTCAATCAATCAAAAGACACAAACCATCAGATTGTTTGCAAACTGCAGTCGTAATCGACTTAATAAATAAAATATCAATTGAATTGAATTTTATTAAACAAAAATTATGGCAAACAAGTCAACAACAGAGACCAACAATGGCAAAGAAGTACGTGTTTGGTGCGATGGATGGTATGTATTGATGTATACACCGGTTAGGGTGTGTCACGAGGATATGTGAACCGGTATTTCGGGTTTATTTTTTAACTGATAAACTCCTCTCGTTTTTCTTCAGCTACGATATGGTCCACTTCGGTCACGCAAATCAGTTACGTCAGGCCAAAGCAATGGGCGATCGGCTTATAGTTGGTGTCCATTCGGACGCCGAAATAAATCTACATAAGGGTCCACCCGTTTTCAACGAAGAAGAACGATATAAGATGGTGTCGGCCATCAAATGGGTCGACGAAGTGGTCAAAGACGCACCGTATATAACCACATTGGAAACGTTAGATCAATATCAATGCGATTTCTGTGTTCACGGCAACGACATCACACTGGATGCCGATGGCTTAGACACATATCGATTTGTCAAAGAGTCTGGTCGTTATCGGGAATGTAAGCGTACTGAAGGCGTGTCGACTACCGATTTAGTCGGACGAATGCTATTGTTAACGAAAACACATCACCGACAAAGTGGCCCAACAGAGGATCTGCCCGATAGTGAACATACGGCTAACTTTAGCCGACAGATTAGTCGCGACTCATCAGCGCACAGTCCGTGGACGGGAATCTCGCAATTTTTGCCGACCACTCAAAAGATTATTCAGTTTGCCGAAGGAAAGGAACCGAAACCAAACGACCGCATTGTTTACGTCGACGGAGCTTTCGATTTGTTTCGTAAGTATTGATTAATTCACTAATTATATGATTTTGATTTTGTGATTACAAATGATTTTTTATTTTTCAATGTGTAGACGTCGGTCACATAGACTTCTTGGAAAAGGCCAGAAAAGAAGGCGATTATCTTATAGTTGGTTTACACACTGATCTGGTAGTCAATAGATACAGGGGTTATAACTATCCGATTATGAATCTACACGAGAGAGTCCTATCAGTGCTCGCTTGTAAGGTATGAATGAAATCAATTCATTTATAATAAATATTTTTATTAAATCATATAAAATGCTAAAACAGTAATATGATTACGCTATGATTTTTTTTGTAGGATATCAGTATAATTTAGATAATAAATCAAATTTGATAAACAAATTAATAACAATAGATAACATTGTATATAATTTATTTTTTTTTAATTTATGACATTAGTATGTCAATGAAGTGGTTATTGGTGCTCCATATAGTGTGAAAAGTGATTTAATGAATCATTTTAAAGTCGATATTGTTATCAAAGGAAACACCGAAATACATCCCGATGTCGATGGCTCGGATCCATATGAAGTAATTCACAATTGGTTTTAATATATAGTATCGATAATAATCCATATTTTATATATTTTTTACTGAAGATCCCGAAACAGTTGGGCAAATATAAAGTTATCGATAGCGGCAATAGTTTGTCCACTTTCAATATTGTCGACCGGATTATTGCCAATTCAGTGGATTTCAGACTGAGAAACAAGAATAAGGAAAAGAAAGAAATTGATTTAATTCTCCGATTAAATCAAGAAAAAGACAAACAAAATGGTTTGAACAGCAATTCAAACGAGCATTAGTTTGGTTTTTATCAAAACAAAAAAGATTGACTTCTATTTAGTCATTTTATGTTTAGAAATCAGTTTTTAAAAATATATATATTTTAATTTGTTTTATAATTTACACTTATATATATAAACATATAGTTATAGTCACAGACTCATCCATTAATTATTAATAATATTTGAGTCATAAATAATCATAATATATATTTTTTATTACCGTTTATTACCGTAATATTTTTTAACAATGAAGTCACAGATTATTGATCTCTTTTGATAGTGATTTTAAATATAAAATTTTAATATATATATATATTGAAAAATTATTATCGAAACATTTATAGTAGTGAATGATAAATTGGATATTTCAATGAAATAATTATTAAATTGTAAAATAATATGTGTTATAAACCAAAGCAAAATTACGATATATATTGTTTGTTATATTTTATTATATATATTATATGAATTATTTACATAATAAGAGACTGAAAATGTTTTTAAATGTAGTCACATAAATTGTGATAATTTTTAGTTTTTTTTAATAATTTTAATTTTGTTAATCATTCGTATGTTTTATAAGTTATGCAAATATTTCTTTTTTGTTTATTAAACAATAAAATTTATTAAACATTCATTTATTACATTAGTAAACAATTTATTCGTAAAATTTGTATTAAATAAAATAAATAGTATCTTTGTTAAAATCTCAATAACATTAAACATTAAAAAATAAATAAAATAAATAGTATTATTCAAAAAACACTTTTTTAAAAAGAGACAATAAATGTATAAAAATAAATAGAAATATATATCAGAATTTAGATCACATTATGTGAACAAAACGAGTAAATAATAATTAGTAAATTAATGGGTATTTCTTTGAAATAAAACCAAAATAACAAATAAATGATAAGAATTTTGTTGAAAAAATAAATTAAATTAAAACGAAATAAAAGATTTGCAAAGAGTTTATGGACATCTTCTTCTTCTTCTTCTTCTTCAGCAGAAATACATCGAACTCTTGCGGTCGAGTCTGACGTTAATCTTTTGGCTTAGATTCTCGAAGTTGGGAACAATTCGTTTCGATAGACGAACGTTAGGACTGCCGCCAGAAGATCCCGAATCCGAATCACCCGACGAACCATTGATGTGTCCGCGCGCTCTATGAGCGGCCAGATGTGCGTAATAAACGGGAGATGGTATCGACACGGATCGGGTGCATCGGGCATAAGTATGACACAAATAGTAGGTTAGCTCATGGAGTTCATCTGCGCCGAACCTGTTCTCATCGTAAAGAACTTTATGGGAAAAACAATAAATATATCGTTAATATCTTAGGAAACAATTTTTTTTGACTGAGATTTCATTATACAAACCATAATAATGTGACGGACGAGAAGTGCCCTGAATTCCTTCGTGCGAACACAAGAAGAAGTCAAAGTCGGTTGGATGAACCACAACGTTGTCCACTATAGTTCCCGGCGGTATGTTTTTGCCGCGACCGACGCCATCCTTTTCGTCGTCCGGAATGAATCTGCAAATTAAACGAATAATTTAAAGGATTATTATTTTGTGTCAAAACCATACGTCAGATGACCACTGACTATACCATACCTCGTGTGATGTCTCTTCTGGACGACAATGAATGTCAATTTCGGATTATAGCCGACTTTGAGTGCCTGAAACGCGCGCTTTATTTTTCTAATTTCAAAGTCCATGACATACATGAACTGTCCTTCGCTGACACCGTCGCGATAGAAGATAATTTCTTCGGGCAGCTCTCCGTTTTGACGCTCGTATTCACGGAGTAACTCATTGACCAATAGATCCAATTCATTGATGATCTCTTCGCGATATCGATGTTGGACGTTAACAGTGGCGTAATGTTTGACACAATTTGCGTCAATATTTCCGACAACTGCGGCAACCGAAGCGCATAACTTGTCCGATGGGGACGGATGGGCTACGTCGGCACCGATCACTAATGTCTTTTTTAGTGCCAAAAGTGGTGGCAATCGGGCGACACACATATTTTCGCCGCCAAGTTTTGTATTGATTTTAAGCAAAATATTTGTGGCCAACGATTGATTCATTCGCAACACATTCTGCTTTCGTATGCATTGTGTGGAGAGACCGATATCGATGTCACCGCACTTCTTGATCTCGTAATAGCATTCATCGGAATCAATACCCAAGAATACAAACAGTTCCACAGATCCATACTTTTCCTGTGCTCTGTCAAAGAGTTTATCCTAAAGACAGTTAAGGCGTCAAATGTAATGTAATGATCAAACAATATAAGTAAATGTATGCAAACCCTTAGCATTCCTCTCTGATATGTCATCTTCACTCTACACAACGGTTCATCGACATTCATACCCATTTGTTGGCCGTATTTCTTGATGGTGTCAATGAAATTGGATATTTGATAGTCGTCGAGATTCGCCAGATTAACAACAATCCATTTCTTAACGTCGACACACTTAAAGAACTGTCCGATACGCCACTTACCATCTCTCGGTTGACATTGTTTACCATTCTTCTCGAGCAGAACTGGTGCATCCAGAACTCGAGCAGACAATCCAATGGGTCGAGTACTGACTTTAACGGAAAACTCGTTCAGATATCGTAAGCACTTCGGGTTGAGTGCGACGTCTTTAGCGGCTTTTTCGATGATTTCAAAGCGCTCTTTAGGTTGCGTTGAGGCACAGATACGGATCATCTCTGCCTTTTGTAATGATGGAAGTGCTTTCTTCACGTGTTGATCTGTCACCAGTTTGCATACTTCTAGCGGAAAATATGTTGGTCGTGGACCCGATCGGACAACAATACAGGGCAGATATGGTGTCTTCAGTTCTTGGTATTCCTGTTTATAGTATTGGGCGACCGATACGTTTCCCTCGAACAGCTTTTCGCCTCTTCGGCCTCTTTTTATGAAATCAAAATAGATGTCTTGAGCCGACTCGCGAGATATGGCGTGAATTTTGTACTTCTTGTGAAAGCGAAGATGAGTTACTTCGATGAACAGACCTTTGAGTTCGCGTTCAATTCGCTTCCTCTCGAAGTCATTCCATTTGTATCGCATCAATGTTTCGCTTTCTTTGAACGGAAACATACTGCGGATGAAGTCCTCGACCGAACCACTCATCCAGAAGGCAGTACACGTCCGGTCGACCACCAGTTGTGCTCCAGAAATGCATGGTCTCAGCGATTGGTAGATACCATATGCCAATTGTTTGCCACCGCCGATCGGGATTCTCTTATCATAAGCGGCCGGATTGAACAGTGACTGACCGATTGTCACTTTGGATCCAACGAGTCCTTGTCTGAGAACAATGTTAAGAATTTGGATGTGTTCGAAGGGAATCGTATTTGTCTTCTTATCGAAGTAGAGCTTCAATGCGTTAAGACTTATAGTATTTCCCGTAAATTTGATTATAACAGCAAACTGGCCGTCAATTGCCTGTTCGTCGGTTACTTCGACCAAAATACGGGTCGGTTTGCCATCGGATGCGACTCCGATCAGTGGTCCACAAGTGAACATCGATTGTGAGCCGTCGTAAACGGGAGTTGTGTTGTAGAAGAGCTTTGCATACGACTGGTTCTCATCGATGGCTTTCTTAACAATCTTATGGCACATACTCTCTGAGAGTTTGCGAAATCTTCGTCTTTCATCTCCCGAAGCGCTGAGTTTGAAGGCTTGCGGCAGTCGCTCAATGGTTACCAGATATCGGTAAATAACTTTCTTGTGGTTGAAGTCAACGGCAAAATGGTTGGAATTGAGAACAATTCGGCGACCTTTTTGGCCAAATCCCGGTCGCGGGACAAACTGTGAACACGAAAGGAAGCGTTCGTTCTTCAGTTCCAAACCCGATCGCATGAGCGCTGTCTTCGGTGTTGGTTTGCCGCCCGTCAGTCCAGCACTCACTTCAAGCAAACTGTGAGGTCTCGGAGCCATCGATGACGATATGAATAAACGATAAGTAAAGAACTAATGATCAGACAATTTATGAAGTAATGGATGACTTAGTTTTGACGGTCAGAAGTATTGGATGAATAATGAATAAAAATAACTCAAAAGAATGAATGGTTTTTATAGTTTAAGAAAACCGTTTGAATACGTCTTCAGAGAAACTGATCAATCAATTGAATGACTTTTGAATTTGAATTTGAATTCGATTTTCGATTTCACGAAATTCATTAAACATTCGAATTTAAATTAAAATTATTTGTTAGAATACTTACTATTAATTGTTGTCACGATTTTATAACAATGTTTTTGAGATTAAAATTACGCGAATTATAACTAAAATTTATTTTAGTTTTCACGAGATTTTCAAATTTAAATTCTAAACTCATAACCGATTTAATCAAATCTATGATAATTAACGGTTTTATTCATAAGAAATTAACGATAAAAACTCTTGAGTTATCACTTCAATGATAATTTTAGACAAATATAATGAATTTTTTTTGAGTTAATATTTGACAATAAAATTAAAATGCAAATTGAATTGAATTTATTTTTAAAGAATTTTATTTGAAATATAAATAATAGAAAAGATAAGAATTTTGACAAAAATTTAATTCATTGACTCTTCAATTGAAATCTGAGACACACTTTGCTTTTTATACGAACACAACAATAATATCTCTCTCTCTCTCTACCAGACTATTGGCCGACAGACAGTCCAATCAGTCATCACAAGCCGTCGGCATACCATTGAGTGCACAAATACAACAAGTGATCCAACAGTCAAATCTTAGCAGAAATGAAATAATTCATAAATTAGGTGACACTCAGCAAAAGATTGATCAACAGATGAACCAATTGAAGGAATTGGAAAAAGCATTGAATGAAAAGATATTAAAGATTAACTTGAATTCACAGAAAAGCGAAAGAGAGGACAGAATTAATGAAATGAATAATTACTTCAAGAAAGTCAATGATGTCTACAGAAAAATTTGCCATCAAATATGTTGACATTGTTTTGCTTAAGAAATTACAGGTCACAGACGTCGACAGAAACATAAATGCATTGATGACTATTCATCACAAAGGAGTAGTCAAACTATTCTTTGCCATTCAACTCTCCGACGGAAATCTTCAGTTGTTTATGAAAAGAAAACTAAAGCAAATGATCGACGAAATAATGACAAAACAGTGGTTCAAGTCCTTCAGAAACACTGAACTACTTGCAGAGGAAGCACATCAGTCACGGACACATCAAAGCGTCTAATATCTTGATATTTGGCAAATAAGACGACAAAATTGTACTCAAACTCACAGACTTTGTGTTCGCAAAAATCGAAAGACAGGGCGAACTCAGCGAAGAACTCAAACAAATACTAAACGATCGGTTGGACGACGACATCATCGATATGTCGTTTCTGTTCAATGACTTGCTCTCTATCACCCAATTTGCCAAACAAGACACTCAACGATTGGCAAATGAAACGGTACACCAAATGATGGTCCAATTTACGGATGCATCACAAGAAGAGTTGAAAAAAATGTTTCATCTGATTATCTGAAATAAAATTCAGTAAACAAAACAAACTTTTCTTTTACTAAATGTTTGTTAACTAAAAAATAAATAACACTTTTTTAGTCACAAAAATTATTAGTTTAACTAAAAATAATTATAAAATAGTAATTTTTAATAAATTAATTACTAAATAAATAAATGATTGAATAAAACTTTTCGAGTTATCGATTGATTATTGCATTATTATTGATAAAATAACTAAACTTTATATTTAGAAAATTAAATTTTATTGTATACTAATTAATGATATAAAACTTAATATATTTAATATAAAATTCATAATTAAAATAATTCTACACTTTATTTAAATACGATATAAATTTGTCTTTTTCTTTATCAAATAATATTATAAATAAATTTTCATTTAATGATCAGATTTCTTGGCATTAATTCATTGTAAAGTCTAGTCATGATCTCAATGAATTGGCATTTCTCTTGACTGTCGATGAATTCAACGACAAATAGTCACCAGATTTATGGCCAATAACTCCATTTCACTCGACAGTATGTAATCGACTCTCAATTTGGTCAACGATTTCATTTCAATCAAGTTTTTGTCAAATAGTGAATACAAGTAAAACCGCTTAACAAATGCAAGACTTTTAGTTTGTCCAGATTTGCGTAACATTTTTGTTAACAATTTGGACAAAAATATGATTGACTTGACTTTAGATCGCATTAACACTCTATGTATAGGCCATTGATCTCAATGTCTGTCGGAAAATATCAAATGATTTAACATCAAAACGAAATGAATTCAACTCAAGATGCTTAACATTAATAGATAGCGTTTGGGATCCAATTGAAGACCATTGTCGGCGATCACTGATAAATAGTCAAGACTTTGACGATTACAAATTACTATTTGTGTCAAAGATAGCGAATGACAACTAATGGACAACTCTTGAAGTTGCAGAAGACAACAGATTTGAGAAAACATTTGATCGGATATATGATAGTCAACAGTGATTTATCAGTGATAACAATGTTTGGACATCTCTGTAGTCCAAAGAGTCACTGGACCAGACCAATCGATCTCCAGACTAATCAGCGAATCAGAAACCGATGCCAAAGCCGTATGCAATGGTTTAAAGTGAATGACTCGCAGTATCTGTAATACTTTGAAATATTGGATCAGTTGAGCGACGTTTTTGTGGATATCTTCCTCTTGAAAGTGGCACTCAATCGATAGATGACGAATGCGATCTCCGAAGAGGCGACCAATTGTTTGCAAGTCATTTAAATAATAGGTCAAGAAGTTGTTGGCCAAACACAGACACTCCAGTTTGACCAATGAGTTGGCCATTAACTCAATTGCCGTCAAATTCAGTTCTTAGTTGAGATAAAGACACCGAATGTTTGGACAATTGTCTATCACTGACTTCATGTCTACCAAACTTAAAATAGTATTTTTAGTGATGTCTGACTTAAGTCTCTGAACTCAATCGACTCGTGTATCTGATATTGTGGTCGACGAAAGAGTAGTTTTGTTTTGCCAAATCTAAGACACCGACGCTGCCGAAGAACCGAACGAATACATTGCTGAAACTGTTTTGATGTTATCTCCAATTGAAACAATTGACGACAATTGATATAATGAAGTATCAGTTCCAACACATCGTTACATAAAATCAAATAGTTTTTGTCACTATTTTTGTCCATTAGTTTAAAATGTGATAATTGTTTTGCAAATAAAAAAACGTTTTTATGATATTAATTGATTAATATTTTGTAATTATTAGTAAAAAGTATTTTAAATATTTGAATTACGGTACAAATCACGAAAAAATTCATAAACTAATCTAAAAAAAAAATTTCACCCCTTGTATTTGATTGCGTATAAAAATGAATAAATATTGTAACATTAGTATAAATGGTATTGAAAATTTCACCCCTTGTATTTGATTGCGTATAAAAATGAATAAATATTGTAACATTAGTATAAATGGTATTGAAAATTTCACCCCTTGTATTTGATTGCGTATAAAAATGAATAAATATTGTAACATTAGTATAAATGGTATTGAAAATTTCACCCCTTGTATTTGATTGCGTATAAAAATGAATAAATATTGTAACATTAGTATAAATGGTATTGAAAATTTCACCCCTTGTATTTGATTGCGTATAAAAATGAATAAATATTGTAACATTAGTATAAATGGTATTGAAAATTTCACCCCTTGTATTTGATTGCGTATAAAAATGAATAAATATTGTAACATTAGTATAAATGGTATTGAAAATTTCACCCCTTGTATTTGATTGCGTATAAAAATGAATAAATATTGTAACATTAGTATAAATGGTATTGAAAATTTCACCCCTTGTATTTGATTGCGTATAAAAATGAATAAATATTGTAACATTAGTATAAATGGTATTGAAAATTTCACCCCTTGTATTTGATTGCGTATAAAAATGAATAAATATTGTAACATTAGTATAAATGGTATTGAAAATTTCACCCCTTGTATTTGATTGCGTATAAAAATGAATAAATATTGTAACATTAGTATAAATGGTATTGAAAATTTCACCCCTTGTATTTGATTGCGTATAAAAATGAATAAATATTGTAACATTAGTATAAATGGTATTGAAAATTTCACCCCTTGTATTTGATTGCGTATAAAAATGAATAAATATTGTAACATTAGTATAAATGGTATTGAAAATTTCACCCCTTGTATTTGATTGCGTATAAAAATGAATAAATATTGTAACATTAGTATAAATGGTATTGAAAATTTCTTGTATTTGATTGCGTATAAAAATGAATAAATATTGTAACATTAGTATAAATGGTATTGAAAATTTCACCCCTTGTATTTGATTGCGTATAAAAATGAATAAATATTGTAACATTAGTATAAATGGTATTGAAAATTTCACCCCTTGTATTTGATTGCGTATAAAAATGAATAAATATTGTAACATTAGTATAAATGGTATTGAAAATTTCACCCCTTGTATTTGATTGCGTATAAAAATGAATAAATATTGTAACATTAGTATAAATGGTATTGAAAATTTCACCCCTTGTATTTGATTGCGTATAAAAATGAATAAATATTGTAACATTAGTATAAATGGTATTGAAAATTTCACCCCTTGTATTTGATTGCGTATAAAAATGAATAAATATTGTAACATTAGTATAAATGGTATTGAAAATTTCACCCCTTGTATTTGATTGCGTATAAAAATGAATAAATATTGTAACATTAGTATAAATGGTATTGAAAATTTCACCCCTTGTATTTGATTGCGTATAAAAATGAATAAATATTGTAACATTAGTATAAATGGTATTGAAAATTTCACCCCTTGTATTTGATTGCGTATAAAAATGAATAAATATTGTAACATTAGTATAAATGGTATTGAAAATTTCACCCCTTGTATTTGATTGCGTATAAAAATGAATAAATATTGTAACATTAGTATAAATGGTATTGAAAATTTCACCCCTTGTATTTGATTGCGTATAAAAATGAATAAATATTGTAACATTAGTATAAATGGTATTGAAAATTTCACCCCTTGTATTTGATTGCGTATAAAAATGAATAAATATTGTAACATTAGTATAAATGGTATTGAAAATTTCACCCCTTGTATTTGATTGCGTATAAAAATGAATAAATATTGTAACATTA